CATCAGGAGGGGACCATGGCAGCCGCGATGGGTCCCTCGCATAGGGTGAGCTCACCCTCCGGGGGAAGGGGCGGAGCCCTGGGGCCCCTGTCAGACCTCCAAGGCTTCCCCGGCCAGTGGGTGCAGTAGGGCTCGAGTGTCACAGGCCCCCTGGGGCAGGCCAGCAGCGCCTCTGGGGCTCACTCGGCCTCCCAGGCAAGCTCCAGCTTCTTCATTGCTCTAACTTGATGTTGCTGTGATTTCCTGGGGGAGGGGGCCAGAGGGAAATTTTGGGTGTAGGACAGCAATGTCAGAAATGCCTTTTCACTGGTGAAATGTCAAGTCCAAAATATGTGGCTGGCCAGAAGCTTTAAATCCGTCCCTCTGTCCCCATGAACATGGGGCATAAGAATTTGGCAGGCCCAGCCACCCGAGACCTTCGGAACATGTTTAGTCTGGGACTCCTATTGGACCTGCAGCCCGCCCCCACCCGCACCCCCACACACGCTTAGCAGAGAAGTCCCACGGGCCCATCTCCCGTGGGCTGTCCGCACACCCTCGCCTTCCCCATGGAGAGCGAACAGACCCTTCGCCGAGCGTTAGGAACAGGTGGCAGGAATCTCTTTTGCGGGCTCGCTAGTCCGTTCTGTACTTGAGGCTGATGAGACCTGCTACTGTGGCCCACCACCAGGTGGCCAGCTTGCGCGGGGGAAGGGGGACAATGACATCTCCCCCCAACTCTCTGTGAGGTCCGGAGGCACCTGACAGTCACCAAGAATCTGATATGTTGGTTTAGGTTGGTTTCCAACGCCAAGAAAAGAGGTCCCAGGCCTGGAAGGATGCTTTAGGGTTCAAAGGAACATGAGGGCAGTCTCAGGGAGCGGGGGCGGCTTTGGAGGATGACTTGGAGCCCCAGGGCTAGCATGCGCGGGTCAATTCTACTGCATTTCCCAATTTGACTGTATCCCCTCCCCTAACACCAGGATTCACAACGTAAGACTTAATGGAAGAAAGAACCGGGAGAAACCCAAGTGATGACAGAGACCCTTATTTATGACCCTCCTGCAAGAAACCGGCCGAGGCTTCTGGTGACGTTTTCCACCCTCTAATAAGGGGTTCTCTCCAATGCGTTTCCATATCCCACCCTTGCACAGTTTTTTTTGTTTTTTTTTTTTTGTTTTTTTTTTTGCTTTGCTTCAGATACCATGGATACCAAGAGGCACACTTTTTCCAAGGCTCACGCTCCATCCAGATGTTCGATGCCTCATGGGTTTCCAATTTGGAGTGGCTCTCTCGCAGTCCAGAGGCGCTTGTGGTTTGCATCACAGGGCTCCCGATGTTCAGGTTATGGAAAAGGTATAGGGGTGTAAGTCACCTAACTAGAATGTGTGTTTAAAGGGAAGGTACGGTGTTCGGGGTCGGGGGCCGGGGCAGGCTGCTTTCTGCAGATGTGCCTGGGGCGGGTTTGCTTCACGCTTCCCCCTCTCCCAGCATCTGGGCGTTCCACACTCAAAGCTACCATAGTAATTCCTGCTTCCTCCAATTTGGAGCAGCTTCTCCAGTGACGGAAACATCAAAAATCACCAGGGGAAGCTGTTAAACATGCAGATTTCTGGGCCGGATTTAGATCTCCTGAAAGAGAATCTGCATTTTAATGAGCTGCGTCTGAAGAGCATGCATTTGAACAGGCCAGAGCTGCGTCATCTAAATTCAAATGTTTTTAAATTGAGAAATATAATCAGAAGAATAGCTTTCTGTATGTAATTGAAATAGTAATGAAGCAAACATCCATATGTGAACACAACCCGGGTTAGGAAATAAAGCATCGGTGGTCCCCAGAACCCCCGCCCCCCGAAGGGCTTCTCTGGTCGCTGTCCCCCTAAGGCGAAGTCTCCTGAGCTTGGAGCTACTCAGCCTGTCACTATAGATGGTCGTTTATACATGCATTCTAGAAAAATATATTCTTTTGCCTATTTAAAAAATTGCATAAAATGAAATCATCCTTTTACCTACAGGTAAAACAAATACCTGTAAAGAAGTTAAAATTTTGCCGGACCCACTCAAATACAGCACTTCCAGTTCAGGAATGGGAGCTGGGGCTTCCGTCTTTCTGCAGGTTCTTGGCACAGCCTCAATTTCCCAGGGGCCTCTGCTGCTTTCGTGGCCCCTCAGTTACGCGCGCGAACCCTGGCTCCCTGCTTTTACCCTCAGCCTCATTCAGGCCCTGGCGTTCAGCTAATGTGCCGCTGAGAAGTGACACACCAGGCAGGTCCCCACCGCAGAGGCAGAGCTCAGGCCTCGACCTCTACTGAGCAGCCAAGTCTGGCCTGGCCCCGCCCCCCAGGTGGACGTTATCTGACCTGTCAGTGTCCTCTATAAAAAGGGCACGGCCAGCCACACAGGAAGGGGACGCCAACACAAGGGCAGACGGGGTAGGCATATGGCCCCCACCGTGTGATCATTCTGCCCCTGCCACTCCTAGGGCGGGGCCAGCCCATGTCCCTCTGAGCTACTGTGTCCTCTTCAGTAAAATGGGGCAAGAGGGGACTCAGATGAGAGCTCCAAGGCATTCTTCAGTGAGTCCTCTGACACTTGAGGCTTTTGGCTGAAGGGGGTGAGGGGAGAGGAGTCAGCTTGGGGGCTGTTCTCTGACGCACCCGCCTCCTCGAGAGATGCCCCAGGAAGGGGCAGGACTGGCGCAGCCTTGTGGGTCTGCCTGCGGGGGACACAGCTGATACAGGAGCGGCAAACAAGGGCCCAGTCGGTCTGCTCTCCCCGAAGGTGAGCGCTGCTGGGAGTGGTCGCACATCTGCCCCCTCGAGTGCATGCCAGTTAACCAACGCTCATTGGGAAAAGTCCTTCTAAAACACGCGGCGTCCGAGCTGCTGGCTAACCCACGGCCCGCTCCAGTCCCTCGGGCCCCAGCTCTGTGACGAAGACCTCTAGCCCCGACGCCTGTCCTCTACTCCCCCCTCCCTGGCCGTGGTCATCTCCCTGGTGACCTGGAAAGCTGAGGGCAAGGGGCCCCGCCGTCACTGGTGCCACAACTCACACTGGCCCGGGGCCAGCTTAGATAATCCATCGCATCACCCTCACGCCCCCTCACTTCCTCCCGGTGGCTATGAGAAGCATCTGGAAAGTCAACAGCTGCTGCCTCCCAGCCCCCAGAGCGCGGTGAGGTCATGCCCATACATAGGCTGACGAGCGCCCGGGGCGAAGGGGGCCCTGTGTGGGGAGAGGGCGGCACTGTCCGTCTCTGGACTCCAGGAGCGCCGCGCTGGGGGCCCGGCACCAAAGGGAGATGAAAAGTGAACCGGGCGTTCCTGCCTCCACAAAAGCATCTTTCATCCCGCAACAGAGTCCAGATTGAAGGGAAGATTTCCCTACGCAACCGTCAGAGACAAGCGGCTCTGTTGACATCCCTGACCGCCCGCCCCCCACAAGTCTCGGAGGACTCCTGCTGGAACCCAGAACGCTAGGGAGACGGGCACGTGGGGTCTCACGACAGGAACGCCGACGCAGGAGGACGCAGGGGCGCCCAAATGCGACCGGGGTTGGCCCCGAAAGAGCAGCTGTCACCGGGGCTGATGGGCGCCCTGTGACGCTGGACGGCTGACTGGGGACTCTCAGAGGAGAGGGCAGCCCCGGGGGAGCGGAGGCCCCAGCCTGGTTGTCAGCAGGAGACAAGGGGCAGAGTCGTCTTGGGTGAGCGCCCCTCAGTGCGACACGTGACCACTGTGGGAAATGGAAACTGAGCCATACGGGGTAGCAGAGGCAGCTTCCGGGGTAGCAGAGGCAGCTTCCGGTCCGCCCGTCCGCCCCCTGCAGCCCTGCCCTCCTCGCAGATTTGGCCGCGCAGACGCTGGAAGCGCAGGGCCTGGGAGAGGGGATCTTCTGGCCCTGTGACCTTTCAGGAGGTGGCAGTGGCAACAATGACTTTAACGCCACGGGTTTTTACCTCTAATCAAAGTCAAAATGGCTCTGCCCACAATCCAACTCCCTCCCCGGGATCTGAGTCCAGACCGAGTGCCTGGCTGGGGAGAACGCGGTACCTAGGATGGCCCTTTGTTCCTTTCGACTTCAACATTTTTATTGCATAAATATTACCTTTCCAAAAATATTAGTTTTCGTGTACAAGTGTATGCTACAACCACCACTCTCTCCAGCCGTGATCGCTGCACTAGTCATGTGCGTCCCTCAGGATCAGCTCGATGCACCTGCGGATGCTCGTCTCTGGCCCCAGCTGCCTATCCCCCGGCATGTTCCGTATGGTAGAGTTGTAGCGCAAGTGCTTAACTTTCCTAAATTTTTATTTTTAAATTTTACCTATTCATCTGAGAGGAGGGAAAGGGAGAAGGAGAGAGAGAGGCTGTTGTCCCACTTACTTACGCACTCACGGGTCGCCCCTCGGATGGGCCGACTGTCGCTGGAGCCGCAACCTTGGCGTGTCACCGGGACGGCCTGTAACCAGGGCAACTTTCATGCATTTAACTATTTGTCTAAGCGAGTGTATGCCCCAGAATAAGTGTGAGTTGGGCAAGTGGACTAAGGTTTCAGTTCTTGCATGTGGGTCTAATGTTTAAAGAACCAGTTTTCCCGTTAAGTCCCTAAATTCAGGGCAGGTACTTCATCTGGAGCTCCAATAGTGGGGTGGTGACTTGTCCCAACACTGAGGGGCCCTGTGTGCTGGCTGGGACAGAGGGCAGTTGGGACTAGATGCCATTTTGTCTTCAGCCCGACCCCAGGCCCAGCCCCTCCTGAGGGGCCCCCAGTAGTCACGCACTCACTACTCCTGGGTTTCTCCATTCATTTATCTTGGAAGTCGTTCCAAATCAGCATCTAGAGATCTGTCTTGTTCTTTAAGTGCTTACTGCCAGCAATTTCACAGCATAAATGTATGGGACATTCTTTGGAAAGAGTTCTATTTTCATACCACAAAGGAAAGAGAAATGTCACCGTTAAAAATGACACAAACTAAGAACAAATGTACAAACCAAGAATATAACATTTTATTCATTTCTGGGTTATGAGTATTACGCAGCATATACATATATTTGAATAACATATAAAACAAAGAACAAACCGTAGAAAGAAACATTGGTCTGAAGTTGACATCTTTAATTCCGTAAGTTCGTGGTAATGCATCTCCCCACACACTGGGGCGGGCAGCGGGAGGCTCAGCAGCCACGGATGCCCCGCTGTACTTACAACGCAATTACGTACGGCGTGGTCACTGGTGTCTGCGGCAAGGGACACCAAGTAGTAGATAAAAGAACCACAGCACAGTGAACTAATATAAATATATTTTTTTCTGCATTGTCCTCCAGATAGTTTCCTTTCTAAAATTAAAGTCAGGTCCAGGGTCCATCCCTTGAATTGCATTCCAGTTATTGCTGGAGGAAAAAAAAAAGAAACAGAAAAGAGGCATCACTTCAGGTTATTAGAAAATAGGTGGTCAGTGCCTCGGGTGGGCTGGGGGCGCTGAGCTGCGGGGAAACACACACAGGTCAGCGGCGGGCGGGCGGGCGCCCACCGTTGTGTCTGAGGAGCCAGCCACGGGCTGACAGAGAGGCCCGAGGGGCAGGTGTGTGGGCAGGAAGCAGGAGGCCCTGCCTGAGGCGGGGCAGGATCGCCTTGAGCAGGTGGAGGGGAAGAGCAGAGCCCCCAACAGGGTCAGCCCTGAGCCGCCGCCGATGGTGGGGAAGACAGGATCTTCCGATGGAAAGGCATGGAAAGGCGCACTGCTCTCCCTGCCGGCGGCGCGGAGAGGCTGTGCGGCCGAGCGTGGAACAGCGCACCCATCGGCACACGGCATCCCCACCCCACCACCCGGTCCTCCTCAGGAGGCTGGCTCACCTTCGCCTTGTTCTGCACTGGGAGATAGAGTTTGAACTCTGCTGGCAGTTCATCTTCTGAGTACAGTCTGTCTGAGAAGTAAACCCGTCGGATGCGGCAGTTTGCATGGATCTGTGGGTGCAGGACTTATTTTGAGACTAAATGTGACGGTCCTTCCTTGCTTCCTGACTCTCCTAGAGCTCCCCACCCCGTGGTGCTGTCAAAGCTTCATCCCTTTGGCGTCTCCTCATATTGGCCCATGCTGGATTGTGACAAAGGGAGATTTGCTTCCCACACCCTCCCACCATATCTGAGCAGAATCCTGACTCTGTCCTGAACTCTGAGGTCAAGGCCCCCTGGACAGTCACTTGGAAGCTTATGTCACCGACTCCTGCGTCATATGGGACACAAGCCAGTCAGAGCGTGCCCCTCCACGGCCCGGGCTCCATCTGGACAAGGACCCAGTACCTGCACTCTGAGGGTCTCAATGTAATTGGTGCCATAGGCCCGCCGAGTGAAGTCCGACAGGTTGAACTGAATCTGGTTCCAGCCTTCATCCAGCCGCATGGGCATGGTGCAGATGAAGGGCTTCACCCGTGTGGTGCTCTGGTAGTTACTCGCCCGAAACCGCCGCCGCACGTTCTTGTCATCTAGCACCTGGGAGATGCAGACAAGAGTCGTGTTCGTCCCGTCTTCGAAGAATCTAACAATCCTGGACAGGCAAGGACCTGACCCCCAAAGGTGGCTTCCCACGGCTGAGGCCCAAAGGAGAATAAGCAGACCAGACACAGGTCACCCTGGATGAAGATGGCCTGGAAGGAGCAATTTTATCTGATTTGTTGCCAAGACAACCCCAGCTGCTTATGACATATGACACACCCGTTAGGCTCTCAGGCCATAAAATCACTTCATAAACATTCTTCCCTTTGAAAAATAAAAAATACTAGAATAGAGACCAACGATAACCCATTACTAAGTGGTTACTCCCCACATGAACACTACTCTAACCCTTAAGCTTTAGAATCTTGTCACTATGATTAGATTTACTACATCTCTTTAATAGCTTATTCATTTATTTATTTTTAGAGAGGGGAAAGGAGGGGGATAGAGAGAAACAATGATGTGCGAGAGGAACATCAATCAGTTGCCTCTTGCACGCCCCCAACTGGGAACCTGGCCCACCACCCAGGCATGTGCCCTGACCGGGAACAGAACTGGTGACCTTTCAGTCTGCAGGTCGGCGCACAATCCACTGAGCCACACCAGCCATGGCTATTACATCTCTTTAAAAACTTGGCATTAAATTATGATTACTAATACCAAAAGTATGCCATAATACTTAGGGCTGAGTCAAGTGCACAGAGCAGGCAGAAGAGAAGGCATAGAAGAGGAGAGAGGTACTCCCAAGGGCCGCTTTTTTCCTACAGGCTGACAGCACACTCTGGGGCAGCCGAGTGCACGGACATTCATGGGCACACACTTACCTGTACTTCGAAAGTAAAATATTTCTTCAGGTTTTTGATAATCATGACAAGGAATGGAAGCTTAATCCCCAGTGTCTTCTTCGGGTCTGCAGGACACGTGATGTACGTGGTGCTGTAGGAGGAAAGACCAACAAACACACCACTCGTCTTTTCCTTTGTGGTGTGCACAGCCACACACACGGCCCAAGAGGATGCAACAGATGGCACAGCTGAAAAGGTCCAGACGCATCGACCAATGAACCCCTCAACCCTTAAGTCAGCTAACGCTTTACAAAATGCTGGACCTTGAAACCAAAGCTCGGCACAGGCCTAGACGTCGGCCATAGAACACCTGAAAAGCAAAGTCAGATCAGTGGATCTGAGGACGTTCTTCAAGTGAGAGAAGATCCGGTTCTGATCCGAGAGAACCAGCAGATGATAGAAAACCAACACTAAGGCCACTGTGGCACCGAAAAGCACAGCGGCCACCCACTGGGTGATTAGAGCAGCGCTCCCCCAACCCCGCCACGCACGCACACGCACGCACACGCCCACCCCTTGGTTAAAAGTGAATAGCAGCTAATACTTGCACAGCACTTCATACACGCTAAGCAGGTTCTAGGTGTTTCATACACATCCCCGTATTGAGTCTTCGCATAGCCCTATAAGGAAGGCGCACTGCTATGACCGCCATTTCACAGAGAAGGACGCCGAGGCCGCGGGGACCAAGGAGCCGCCAGAGGACAGCTCCTGTACTCACACCGGGCGCCAGCCTCTGCGGTTGGTGCCGCCCACCGCGGGGCCGCCCTCCCCTGGGAGGCCGACGTCTCTGGGAGAACAGAGTAGCAACCTACCTGACATTTGTCCCTTCAATCTCTAGCACCAGGGACTGGATGTCATTATCAGTGATTCTTTTAATGTGGCCATTCCGCACCTATAAGGAAGAAAATAAGTACTGAAATATCTGACAACACTTTTGTTAAGATTTTGAAGGCTGAATGGGACCATTTAAAGAAAACAACACTGGCCCAAAGGGGCGTAACACAGAAGTTTGAGAAGTGCTACGTTGAAGCTTCTGTGTAGGTAAAGCATTCTATTGCTGCCGTACGGGGTCCCTGCGGCCACCACAGGAGTCACAGATAACTTGGCAATCTACAAATCAGGATAAATGCTTCCCAAAGAAATCAACTCAGTTCAGGCTCAGCTAACACTTAATGAGTTCCTGCTATGCACAAAAACATTCATACACATTCCCCCACTGAATCCTACCAACAGCAACACAAACATCACCACGTAGGCAGTGTTGTTTCCACCTGACGGAGGTGGCCGTCGGCACCCAGGGAGTGCAAACGACAGCTCCCAAGGCAGGAGTCGGGAGTAACAGCCAGGTTTCCACCGCCCTGCACTGCCTCGTCCACTGTTTCAGCCAGAAAGGCCAAGCGCTGAGCGTCCCTGGGGTGGGGGGGGCAACCAAAAACCGAAAGCGCGGCTCCCCCAGCCTTACATCATGCCTCCTCATCTTTTCCCTGAGCTTCCACTTTTTCAAGTGTGAACTCAGGTCCCATCTGGGCCCCGTGCAGAAGCCTTCTTTAGCCATTTCAGTCCACACTGACCTCTCTTCTCTCTGATTTGCTTTCCTGGCTCAAGCAGCCCAGACTGCACAATTTAGCACTTCATCCCACACTGCTTTGTCGGCTGCACATGTAGGGGGAACGTGGTGGGAAGGAATCAATATTCAATACAGATTCCTCCTCTCCAAATACCTTTTGGAGAGAAGAAATATCTTCAAGCAATCAACTCTTAAGCACCTCAGATAGAGCCAAAATGTGCAAAGATACTTGTGAGTCATGGCTGGACTGCGAAGGCTGAATATTAACACATGAAAAAGATCCACCAGGTTTCCAGGTTTAGAGCAGGATTCATCAGAAAGACTTTTTTTTTTCAGGGATAGTGAGAATCGCTATGTCGGGCTGTTGCATCAATGCCGTTATCATCTGGCTTTCCGTTAGATTTGCATAAAGGAGAGAACACAGTGTCCAGTCTGTTTGATAGTTGTGTTTTTCTTTTTTAATTGTAGTTCAATTACAGTTGTCCCACATTATTCCCTGTTGCTCACCCCTCCACCCCCGCTCCCACAGTCAATCCCCTCCCCGCTGTCCTTGTCCAGGGGTCCTCTGCTTGTGTTCCTTGACTTGCCCCTTCCCCTTCTCTCCCCCGTCACCCCCCGCCCCCTCCCCTCTGGTCACAGTCAGTTAGGTCTTCATTTCCACGTCTCTGGTTCTGTTTTGCTCATTTGCTTGTTTTGTTGATTAGGTTCCACATATAGGTGAGATTATAAGGTAACTGTCTTCCACTGTCCGGCACGTTTCACTCAGCACGATGCTCTCCAGCTCCACCCATGCCATCAGCGAGGGCAGGCGCTCCTTCTTCCTTTCTGCTGCATAGTATTCCACTGGGTAAATGTAGCACAGTTTTTTGATCTTCTCATTGACTGACGGGCACTGGCAGTTGTATTTTCAACACAGGTCATTGATGATAATAATCTGTCTGAGCTTTGTTACTCTGAGTTTGATCCACCCCTGGTGTGCGACATCACCTGGTGTTCCCCAGGTGACATCTGATGTCACTGCCCATCTTTTTCTAGAAGATGCAACCGAGTCTTGTCTCCTCAAAAAAGTAGAAGCTCAGGGGTAGAAATCACATACTAAGTATAGTTTGTATCTTCTATAATGCTTAGTACTGTGCTAGGCATAAAGTAAGCATTCAAATATTTGCTGACTTCTGGAATTTGTCACTCTAGGAGTTGGCGCATACAAATAATTTCAAGAAGGATTTTTAAAAAATTCCTGGATAACACGCCCACCGCGGACTGGCGCAGGGAGCCAGACAGCCCGGGCGCGCCACAAAGCCCGTGCGGCCGCCGGCAGGGAGGGGGCTTTCCCACACATCACCCTTCGGTGCCCGTTGTCAGAGACGGAGGGCTGCGTGGACGGGCCCCGGAGCTCTGCCAATGTGGCATTTCCTGGTTTCTCAAGACCAACGTCGCACTGAAGTGCTTCTCAAACAAAGCCGCCGACATCCAGCGCCCTCCTGCTTTGGATCCTAGGCCGCTTTCCGAGGGACATTAAGAGCACAGCGCCTTGGGCCTGGGCAGCGCATGCCGACACGGCCCACCTCACCGCCCGCAGAAACCTCCATCCAAAGCGGCCACATTCCTCTCTGTCTGCAGCCCCCAGTTGCTGCGGAAAATCAGGCGGTGCTGAAGAGGGAGGAATTAGTTGTGAAACTGTCTCCAAATATGTGATGCAGCCACATTGATAAGAGCTGGCAGGAGTCTAACACCAATTGTATAACACCGTAGCTAATTATTGGCTGTAATATAACTTCCTTTTTCTCTTTAAAATGTACATAAGGCAACACTCAAACATGGTTAAACTGAAAGGATTAAGTAATTAGCACCCAAGGGCTACTACTGCCAATAGACAACATGTTGCAATTTACCGAACACTGTTAGGAAGTGCGGCCTGAGACCTTCCACGCCCAAAGTCCCTCCGGCCAGAGGCCACAGGAAGCCTCCTCAGCTCCAGAAAGCCTCGCCAGATTTCACCCGGAGGAAACGTTAGCAAAGTTTAGAGCAGATGACGTCGTTGCTCTAGCAAATCTGACTATTCAGGTCTTTGCAGCAGGAAACAATGCCCTGCAAGGCAGGCAGAAGCCAGCAGGCTGGAGGCCAAACCAGGCTTTGCGCATCCTCAGCCTCAGACACTGGCTAACTTTTAGCTGGACTTTCAATGACTTCCTGGACAGCTCTCTGTCAGCCACACAGCAACAATCATACTACCAACCTTAATTCTTACAAAACTAGTTACTGTGGCCCTCAAACAAGAGAAGTCCAAAGAACCAAGGCAGCTTTTTCCAAGGAATGCCCGTCGGTTTATCTAGAGCTCTAACCGGGCTGGTAGTGAGGCAAACCAGATAGAGCTTTGCCCAGGGAGCAAGCTCAGTCCTCACAGAAGAAAAACATAGGCAGCCAGAGCCTTGAAATCCAATCACTGTATTTTGCCATGTATAAAGTGCTCCCTGTATATAATGTGCGCTCACGTTTTGGCCCAAACTTTCAGGGAAAAAAAATCTTCCATTTTAATTTCTAAATTCTATTTATGTATTTATATTTAGATACTTGTTTTTTTGTATAACAACAGAATTTTAGCTTTAATTTTTGAACATACCATGGTACAAGAAATTTTATGTAATAATCACAAAACACAAAAACAGATATAGGGTATTTTAGGTACTACTCGTGTATAATGCGCATCCTTATTTTTCCCTAAAAAAGTTGGGCAAAATAGTGTGCATTATACATGGAAAAATACAGGGTAACTTGATTTCTTAGTGAACTATGATTTTTCTCCTTTATTAAAGGGTGGCAAATACAAGCTCATGGGAACAAAAGAGTGGGGTGGGGTTGGGGGCTCCATTCCTCAGAGGTGAGAGACTCAGAGGGGGGGAAACCTTCCCAAGCCTCTTCCACAGGCTTTAACACCAGAATGGAAGAGGGACGGGGTACAGCCAACTTGGGACGAGGCTTCCTACATACCCTGGCAACCTGGCCTGTACGTGGCGCCAGGTCTTCCAGGAAGCGAAGCGCACCCCCCACTCCAGCTTCTGACAAACACAACCGACAGAACACAGGGCCTCAGAAAGCATCGGCTGCCCCCCAGCTCCTTCCCGGTTGGAGGTCACTAGGCAGGCCTGGCTTTGAAATGAAGATAAAATGAACTGGTCAGGGTTTACTGCTTATGGTGGAAGCAGGTTTTATTTTACTTCCCTCTCTAAATTAGAAAGTGCCAACTATTTTTCACTTAATTCTTTCTTATTTCATAACACATTCCCACTATCAAAGTGTGGCCTGCAAGTGTTTTACTCTTCCAAACAATCAATCAATCAATCAATAAGGCCAATCTTACATTTTAAAAAATTTCATGAACTCTCCCCTCCCCCAAGTTCCGGGCTGGAGGTATTTTAGGAGCTTCGGAAACCGGGCTACTGGCAACTACAAATCGGAATGGCTCTCAGCCTCTGCAGACACCAGGAGGGGAGCCATCACGCCCTTCCCGCACTCCCTCTCCCAGGCTTTACCCGGTTGCTGGGCAACAAACACAGAGCACTGATTTAAGCCCCAGGGAGGAGGGTCAAGCAGAGAGGGAAAAACTACTGCTAGGAGAGGGGGAAGCTGGCCAGTGCTCTATTTCTACAGGTGCTTTAAAAATAACACTTGCGTTGTATCCATTCCCTACCCCACTTTTCGTTTGGGGTTTGTTTGTTTTTTCCTGACTCCACCCCCTTATGCTGGCGGACCGCGGAGCCCCCAGCCATCTGGTATCCTAGTCTTAATGACACGTGCTCCAATTGCCATCAGAGCTGTCCCGTTTGAGCAAAAGCCCGTCTGCGAGGGGCTGAACTCCGTCAGAAAACAGGCAGAGGGAGGCCTCTGCGGGGAGATCTGGGCATTGCTCGACCCAGGCCTTGGCCCTGGAGGCTCCAAAGGGTCTAAGGCTTCTCTTTTTGCCACACTTAACAGGGACTATCCAGGCAGCAGATAGGCAACTCTGGGCATATACAACAAACCCTTAGTTAAAGTAAGGACAATTATGTGTGTTGCTAACCCACCTCTTCCTAACGGTGCCTTGAAAGGCAAGCATAACTAAAACCCAGGCCTTCGTGCAATCATGGTAAAAGCTATTACTCAAAATAATGAAGGATATCATGAGACTGACCTTGGCAAAGTCTGAAAAAATAGTTTCACTACCTTCATGTCCAAATGTTCTCAATTCTACTACTGGAAATTGCATCAGTTTAACGTACACCAACAAGGTTTACTAATTAGAAGCTAAGGCGTGGGAGTTTTTCTTTTTTTCTTCCTGTAGATTTTGTTCGTTTTTTAAGTTAAGAGCAGGAAATGGGAATCTAATAGTATCCAGCAACAACCACACAAACTGGTTCTAATATTTAGTTTGGGAATAGGGGAGGATCAGCTGCTGCTGAGAGAAAGCAAGGTGAAGAAAGAAAGGCAGAAAAGCTTGTGTGAACTGACATTCTCATCTAATAGACTTTTAGGACGTTACCAGTAAAGACTGAAAATGATGTTTTACACAGGGATCAAGTTGGACCAGAACCTCCTGGTATAGTCTTTACAAACCAGAAGTAGTGTTTACATGACACATAAGAGTCCTTTAATAAATGTAATATTTTCTGGGCCCAGAAATTAAGGGGACATTAAGAAACCCCTAATTTCTCCTAAACTCTTGGTTTGAAAAATTGCAAAGGTCTCTATCAGAAAGCTTACAGTGTAGCCAGGAATAGAGATCTTAAGAAGCTAATTTCAAGTGGGATTGAGTATGATGAAAAGGAAGGAGAGATTCTGCAAGTGGACAGAAATTAACCCAAGGAAGTGCCTTTAAGTTTTGACCCAGAGACTAATGTAGAGGTGCAGACACGGGTCCCAGTGGACGTACGGACAAGTACGAAAGCCTGAAGGTGAGAGAGAACAGGACTCTTTTTTTAAAAATGGGGGGGGGGGAGCCTGGAGAACTAGGGAAGCAGGCACTGGACCACATTATGGGTTTTGGACTGGGAAAGCATGGCAACATGGCAAAATTTTTCCAATTTCAGGAGCCTGGCTTTACTGTACTTCCCATTCCTCAGCATCTGAATACTGGGATCAAATATAAAATGTTTTACTCTTAATCAAAGTCCTTAGTTTCCTGCCCTACTGAATACTATATGCCATAACTCTGTTGCTAAACATTTTACACACATCTTCATTTAATCTCCATAACCATGAGAAGGAGGTGACATTACTACAAGATGAGAAAACTGAGTAATTTAGTATCTGCCCAAGGTCACACAGCAGGGGACGGGGACGGAGGCAGGCCACAAATCCAAGGTGTCCCGTCACATTCTAGCTCCGGGGCTTCAAGGTAAGAGATTTTCTTCCCCTTAGAGAACTTGTAGTCTAGTGGTGGATACTTCACTGAAGCTCTCAATGAAATAATGTGGGTTTTTAAAAAGATTTTATTTATTTATTTTTAAAGAGGGGAAAGAAGGGAGAAAGAGAGGGAGAGAAACATCGATGTGAGAGAAAAACATAGATGTGCGAGAGAAACATAGATGGGTTACACCCCTCACACACCTCCAGCTGGGGACCTTGTCCAAACTCTGGGTATTTGCCCTGATCGGGAATTGAACTAGCGACCCTTTGTCTGCAGGCCAGTGCTGAATCCATTGAGCCACACAAGCCAGGGCACCAGTGAAACAATGTTTGAGATTTGAAGGATGAGATAGGGAGAGGGGCTATGAACCTCAAAGAGTGAAATAAACACAGATGTTACAAATGTAACCATACCCACCAATATGGTGTTTGCAGATTCACTGTTATTTTGAATATGACATTCACTCCTCATATTCATAAGGAAACACGGAAGCTAAACAGAAGCCAAACCTAATTTTTCTGAGATTATTCTTCATAAAAAACAAATCACAGAACTTCTCTCTCCATAAACTAAGGACAGAAAATGGTAAAGTTTTATAAAATCAAAATAATAACTGAAAATACACACTATAGCCAATCTGTACCTACCGGCAAAGGCCAGGGTCATTTCTCGATAAACGAGGACAGTCCTTTCCTTTCTCCACCAAGCTCGCCCTCAGTCCCAGGAGCAGGGAACATATCTTCTCTAATTCTGTATTTTCCCATCTACACAATGCCTGCCACTTAGCTGTTGTTCAATAAATCTTTGATAAGTATATCAATTCCCAGTGTTTCCCAGACCAAACTGGATTCCCAACACTTTCTGAGGACTTTATAATACAGCCTGTGAATCTGGCCCCAAACTTTTCCTTTTTCTCTATCTCCTTTCCTTGCTCCAGGGGAAGAATTTTGCTTAAAATGAATTTTCTTCGAAAGTGTTCTTTGCCAAAATTTACTCCATGTAACCTGCCAGCTGATCTAATGATGTTTTCACATGTGTTTCTGTCATTAGGGTACCATCTGACCTCTAGTGGCGTTGTTAAGGGACACAGTGTACTGTGGTTACTTTGCTTTCATATTTCATGCGTAGACATGTTGACTAGTCAAAAAGCTGCATCTGAAAAATGACTACAGAAGAGCAAGCCCCAAAGGGTTAAAATGGGCAACTCCAACAGAACTTTCACCCAACAGAGAAGCTGAAGCCTGCCCAGCACTGAGTTCTTTGTTAGTAAGTTCTCTAACCTGCTCTGAAAACCTGTCCTGTAGATCAAGTCCCATTCTGGATTCCCGTTGCCTTATATTGACACTTTGTTTCAACTCCCAAGTTGAGCTGGCACGCAAGGCCACCTCTCCACGCCTTCCCACAGCCCGTAACTGAGAAGCCTTACGAAGTTCTTACGAGCTTCCTGGCACGCTCTCTGTGCGTTCCCTTTGCAGAGGTGCAGTTTCACAGCTTACAATGCTTTATTCCAATGTGAACAAAACCAAGCAACTGAAAACCTCAGTAATATAGAAAAAAATGAAGGAACTGCCTTCCTATGTAATACTCTTGGCATTAGCTCTAGATTGTAGATGGAATCATTGCGAACGAACAGAGGTGGTCAGATTTTTCACTTGTGCATAAGGCCCAAACTCATATTCAAATCTTGCAACTATCTTATAAAAATGACCTTATGAATACACCACCCTCCCAGCGGCTTTCAGAACACAGAACTCCCCAGCGGCAACAGGCAAGGCTGTCCACGTTCTCCCCCAGTCTCTACGAAGCCTGAAACTCATCTGTGGACAAGGGAAGAGAAAAAAGCGTTCTGAGATAAAATCCAAAGTTCCTGGCTTTATTACCAACAAACCGCTTATTTAGATTATTCTACATTCCTCTCTGTAAAAACACCATTGGACACACCACCTCTCTTCATTCTCCCCTGAGGAGAGCAGCTAAGGTTATATCCTAAATTACCAGACTTCCACAGCAGAGTGCCAACCTTAACTTGTTTTCAAAAAAAGGCCCTGGCTGGTGTGGCTCAGCGGATTGAGTGTCTGCCTGCGAACCCAAAGGTCGCGGGTCTGAATCCCAGTCGGGGCACCTGCCTGGGTTGCAGACCGGGTCTCCAGCTGGGGGCGTGTGAGAGGCAACCAATCAATGTTTCTCTTGAACATTGACGTTTCTCTTCCTTTCTCCCTCCCCTCCCCTCTCTCTAAAAAATAAATAAAATCTAAAAAAAAAAGGGAAAAAAGGTACAGCTGTCAGGAAATTTGCATCAGAAGTGAAATATCAAAGCAATAAAATGCAGACCAACTCACAGGCTTCTAGACACACACGCCCCCTATTCATCATCTCCTGGGGTCCGTGGAAGGATCGCCCTGTGGATGCCTGAAGAAAGATAATGAGGCTTGTACTCGGCTGTGAACTTGTTAATGCGGGCAAGACTCTATCACCACTCTGCAATTTTCCTGATGGAGAGATCAGGCACTGAAGGAAGGCTCAGTACAGAACCCCTGTCACAGGGAGTGCGGGACAGGTGCCGAAGGCCACCAAATTCTGACCTGTTTGGAATCAGTAAAAGGAAGGGAGCAAAGGAATAAAACTCAAACGTAACTGGCCTGGCTGCGCCCCTCCAAGGATGCCTAGAACAAAGGCTCTGTGTCTGGTGCCCAGCACAGCGCCTGGCACAAAACAGGGTACCGGTAAGTATTTGTGAAATCAGTGGACAGCAGTTGCTTTCATCGATGTTTCCAAAACAACCTCCAACAAGTTTACGCTATGAGAGGCACTATCAACGCCACTTCGTACATGGGGACACCGACGCTCTGAGGAGTTGACAGATCAAGTCAAGTCTGGGGCAAAGGACCACTCACCCAACCACACCACGGCCTCTGGACACCGAAACCCCAGCCGCACCCACCTGCACCCCCGGAGCTTACACGACGTCCCCACCTCGAGCTTCAGTCAAACCAGGCTGGGGACAGCGCACAGCAGCAACCGCCGGGCCTCCCCCAAGTCCCAACTCGACACAACCGCCCGCCACCCCGTTCCCAGCCCCGGAGCAAGGAGAAGGCGCGGCCTCTGCGTCCGCCCCGCCGCCGGCCCCAGCCCTTTACCTTTTTGTCCCAGATCTGCAGGGGCTTGCTGCCGATGCTGTAGAGGATGGAGAGGAAGCCGCTCTGGAACGTGTTTTTGAACATTTCGCAGGCGGCCTTCTCCTCGGCCGCGCCGGAGCGACCTAGATATGGATACTAAGTGGCGAAGGTAAAAGAGGGGTCCGACCCTGATCCGAACAAGGGATGCTGTGCAGCTGACCTCCGGATCGGCAGAGACCAACACCTGGACCTGGACGCGGGACGCTAAGTCCGTGTGTTCCCGCTTTCCGAAGAACTAACCCACCCGGGGCTGGAAACCACAGCAACTGCCAACCGCGCCACTCTCCCCGCCTTAAATGGAGGCGGCGAGCCACACGTAGCCCAAGATGGATTCCTCCGCCCACTTAAGCCCGCCCCTTGAGAGCGCGAAGCCCAATCCCGGCACGGGGATTACGGACTTCCTGTTCCTTCTGCCCTTAGGCTCTGCCCTAGTTCCGCCTCCTCGTGAAAAAGAACCCTGTTGTCAAGGGACTCTTTTTTCCCCGTCGTCGTTTCAGAGCTGCTTTTGGAAGCGGAAGGAGATAGAGGATTATAGCATGTGTTGTCGACACCTGCGTGTTGTCCGCACTGCGTGTTGTCCACGCCTGCGTGTTGTCATGGGAACCTGGTGGGGTGAGTCCGGGGGCGTGAAGACCAGGCCCCGCCCCCTGAAGGAAGAGGAGGAGTTACAAGTGCGAAAGTGGAGAAAGGCGCGAGAGGAGGTAGGTGGTTAAGTAAGTGCCTACCTGGAATCCTGCGAATGCGAAATGTGCTTGTTGGCTGAGTACAAGATAAGGTTAAAGCACCTAACCTGAATTGAGCACTAACTGTGCTAAGCGCCTTATGTGCGTCTTTGCTTTAATTATTAAGAGGATTGTTATGAATACATCACTGTAGCAACTTGTGGGATGCAGTCAAGGCAACCCTCTGAGGACAATTTATTGCCTTAAAAGCATTATTAGCAGACAAAAAAAGCCTGAACATTTAGCTAAAAGCAGAAATTAATAAGCTAAACAAAGTCGAGTTGGTTGAGTCGAATCAACAGCTGATTTTTTTTTTAATCAGTTCTCAGAGGAACATGTTTTTAAAAGACATAAAATAAGCTATGATAGTTCATGTGTGGAAGAAATCTGAAATGTTGGAGCCCACTCAACTGAGGCTCTATCTGACCATGCCCTGGCCTGTGCTGCGTATTATGGCCGACAGAAAGGGAATTGGCAGCTAATTTCGCCCTCGTGACAGCTAATAATAACCAATATCTATTGAGCATTTATTATGTATCAGGCACTATACGAAGCGCCTTAGCCTGTAATAAGTCATTTAATCCTCAGAGCAAACCCGTGGACAACTGAACGGGAATTTCCAGACTTCGTAGGGGGGTGGGGGAGAGGAGAGGGTGGAATATGGATTGCATTAGAGTAGAAAGTCAAAACTTTTTATATAAACTGTTATTTCTGAATGATTTCTGGGGACTCTTTAGGCCAGTGAACAATTTATCCCTTGATTGTTATTAAATTTTTCAAAATATCTTATGGGGAAACGCATTTCTTATACATTAGATTTTCATGTGCACTGAGTCTATTGCAGGATTGTTTATTCCGTTCTCTTGAACCCTGACAACACTAAATGCTGACAAGGATGTGGCATAGTGGGACTTTTCATTTATTGCTGGTGGGGATGCAAAATAGTACAGCCACTTTGAAAGGCACTTTGGAGGTTTTTACAAAACTAAACTTACACTTACTATAGGATCCAACAATCCCACTCCTTGATATTTTCCTGAAGGAACTAAAAACATATGTCCACACAAAAACCTGTACATGGACATTTATAGCATCTTTATTCATAGTTGCCCAAGCTTGGAAGCAACTAAGATGTCCTTTGATAGGCAAATAGATAAACTGGCACATGCAGACAATGGAATATTATTTAGTGCTCAAAAGAAATGAGCTATGAAGCCATGAAAACCCGTGGAGGAAACTCCATGCATATTACTAAGTAAAAGAAGCCAATCTGAAAAGGTTATATACTGTCTGGTTCAAACTGTATGACACTCTGGAAAAGGCAAAACTATGGAGACAATAAAAAGATCATTGCTTGCCAGGGGTGCGGGTGGGGGTGAGGAGAGAGGAATACACAGAGCACAGGGGACTTTTAGGGCAATGAAAGTAATTTTATAGCACCCCCCCCACACACACACACACACATCACTTGTCCTTTACACTCTTTTTTTCCTAACTCTTATCACCACGTGATAGTCTATATTTGTTACTTATTATCTATATTCCTGCATTTGATTCTGAGCTGCTGAGAGAATTTAGTCTGTCTTGCTTGTGGGTATATTTCCAGTGCCAAAAACAAATGCCTGCAGAAAATGGGAATGTATGTAGTAAGTATGTGCTGAATCTGTGAATTAGAGTCACAGGCTTGAGGGTCCTGGTCACCACAGGCCCAGCACAGGCTCGGTCTCCTCTGGCCTCCGCACACTCGTGCAGACAATAAAGATCTTCTCGGAAGAAGGGCTCACCTATCCTATTTGCCTGCTCACCCCCTCATTAACCGTGGAGTCTCCCCAGTTAAAATGGAAACACCTTGAGTATGTGTGGACTTAAGTGTCCTGAACAGACAGCCCACCGATGAGCAAGCTGAGGGAGGCAATGAGAGTGCTTGCTCCTCCTGACTACTCGTCCTCAGTGAGTGTCCACATGAACTGTGGGGTTCAAAATTCCCTGTCATCACAGCCTTGGCTACAGTAAAGATTATTTGATCCAAGGGTTGGGGAACATGAACTAGTGTTTAGCGCACACGTTGTGTTCCTATTGTAGGCTTGATTTTGGCATGCTCCTCCCAGGTGCAGACTGTGTCTTCTGTGCATGTCACGGTGCCCAGTGCCACCACGATGATAGGCGCAGAATGAACGTACGAACGAACGAACTAGAGCCAACTGGTCACCTCTGACATCGATCTTCATTTGAAAAGTTAATATAGAACGAATTAACCTAAAACTGCAGATGTCACTCACAGAAACGCATTAAACATTGTGCTTCTTCAAGATGGTTTTCTCTTCATCAACATGAGGGGTGTGAGGACAAAACACAAGAAGAATCTTGCTAATAAGTTGCTTCCTTCAAAGATTATACATTTAGAAAGGGGTAGATGAGTCAGTTTTAAAAAGTAATACATGGAAAGAGCAGAATCTATTAAGGCAATAAGATAACAGTTTGGGCAGTAGATACAGAAGCTCAACTGATACATAGTAGGCCATTAAAAGCTGCAGAAAAGGGGCGTGACTAGTGTGGCTCAGTTGATTGGACGTTGTTCTGTGAGGCAAAGGGTGGCAGGTTCGGTGTCTGGTCATGCACATGCCTGGGTTGTTGATTCAGTCCCAGGTCAGGGCACATACGAGAAGCAACCGACCGATGGATGTTTCTCTCCTCCTTTCTTCCTCCCTTCTCCTCTCTCTAAAAATAAATAACTGAAAGTTGTAGAAAAGATAAAGTAATTGCATGAAGTGCAAGGTTAGGGTAGTCTTGAGAACCCCATGACTACAAGAAGGGGCTTTGTTTGGTGTTGTGCAGTTTGGGTAGAACCATCACTGGGCAACCAGTTTCGTGCCCAGCCCAGAATGTCTGACCTTGAACAAATCACAGTCCTGCCTTTAGATTGAATGTCGCCTTAGTGGGGTGTCAAAACACAGAGATTATAGCAAGTACGTCAAAACCCCTGCCAGTAATCCATGTCTAAATGAGGAATAAGTTTTTGATTACTGTGACATTTTGTTACCTAAGATACCTGACATATTTAAGATAGCTTAATATATTAGAGAATGATACTTTAATTTGAAATGTTTCAAGGAATTTGAAATTAGTTCTTTGATTTTTAATTTAAAAAAATATATGAGAAAATTTAATTGTGTAAACAATTTTACAATTTTTTAATTTATTACATCTATGAGTTTAAGACTTAGATATGTTAGTATTTGAATGCTTAGGAAGATTTCATCAGATTTTTGGTCTTTCATATTAGCTATTGGAAGTGTTTGTGCAAATCAAACAGATTAAATATGTGGGTGAAGAAAACTAGATTGTGTGTGAGCAATGTTTATGGTTTAACCCATTATGTTTTGAATTAATTCATCATTAATCAAAGAGTAAGCCTAAGTGTCCACATTATATACAGAACCAACCAGTGTGTAGTTATAGCAAGATTTGTAAATTGATTTTAACACAAGACAAATTAGATTTTAAATGCATAGTTTTAATAACCAAGGTATTATTTTAAACACCAAGAACTGTAAGAATCCTTTTCAGTGCACAAAGCCCTGGTCAGATGCTGAAACCCAGTGGACAGCGTCTGCTCATGTCTGTCCAAGCCCAGAAATTCAGGAGCACCCGGCCTCTGAGACTTGATGCACAAGACTGTTAGGCAGAGTTGATTCTTCGCCCCTCCTTGCTGACGGGGGACGGGGAGGGACAGCAATGACTGGGGCATTTGGCTGGCAGGAGGAAGACCACCAAATCCAGTGGTTATAGCCAAAGACCATGAGCCCTGACAACATCAAGTAAAAGACCCAGCGCTGGGCAGATGAAGCTCCTTCTACTCTGAGAGTGAAGTTCGAATGGGACTCTCTTGGGCTCTTATACGTTATTATTTTTAAACATGTAGTAAAAAATGCACTTTTTGGTGTAGTTTTGACAAAGGCACCAAATCATAACCATTGCCACTTTTAGAGCACAGAACAGCTCCATCACCGCCCACTCCCCCGCCCCCCTGCAAATTCTCGGGCTATCCCTGTGTAACCACAGCCTCCCTCCCAACATCCCCTTCACCCCGGTAACCACGGGTCTGTCCTCTATCCCTACAGTTTTGCCTTCTCCAGAATTTAATATAGATGGAATCATTCAGGAGGCAGCGTTTTGAGTCTGGCTTCTTAGCAGAATGTGTCTGAGATGTACATTATTTTAAGTCTGTGGAATACTCCACAACGCCCCCACCTCAACGCCTCAGCCACACCACGCTCATCCATTCCGCCACCCAGCCTGCTCTGGCCGGCCCTTCGCATGCTCACTTTTGAAGGCTTTTCTATGGCATTTCAAACATATTAAAAGGAAGCCATTTTTCATATGTAAGATAACATCTTTCCTATGATTTTGAAAAGGTCTTTAGAATTGTCTTTTAAAATTGATTTTGTGCTTGTCTGTGACTCTACTAATTATCACGAGAAAAATATTTTAAAAAACAAATATTGAATCTAACCATTAACTTAATGAAGTTCGCAGGATTAGAAAGACATTTAATCACACATTTTTATTTTGCAACTTTCTTAGGTGAGAGCCAACACCTTTTTCTTTTCAGGTCTCGAACATTTCTGTAGGCCCCTGGGAAGTCATAGGCCCTGGGCACCATGCCCCAAGTGCCTGGCGCAGCCCCCCAACAATTCCATGACTAAAGGCATCATGGTTCCAGCCCACACCAGCGAGAGGAGGGAAGACTGCTTTCTCTGAATCATAAGAATGCCCTTTCTAAAAAAAATCACATGGCACAGTTCAAATTTTTTGAGTTTATCTCACATACTATGCAAAAAAAATGTATGTGCAAATTTGTTTATTGCAGCAATACAGGTAATAGTATTGATAAGAGTCTATCAATAAGGGATTGGTTTAACTGTGGGACATCACATGATGGAATACTATGCAGGCATGAAAAGGAGTGAGGTAGAGCTATACATGCTAACACAGTAGGATTTTCACAATTAAGTGGAAATACAAGGTGCAGAAAATGTAGAGTCTGATTATATTTCCATAAAAATAAAAGTCATTATAGTTCAAAAATGTCAGTAAATGCATAGGAATCAAAGAGAGGAAAGAGTTTCTGTATGCGTGTATATGTGGTTGGGGGAGGCTTTCATTAGTTACTTTGATGTAACATGACATTTTACCATGAGCATAATTTCTTTGGTAATCAAGAAAATTGAGTATTACTTTAAACAACACAAGCAGAATTATTGAAAGATGTGACTTGTTGTTCTGAATTTCCAAGCACATTGTGGATAAGCATTAGGCTGGTCTTGAGTTAGCAGGTTTCTTGTCCCTTTCTCTCAAGGCTAATATCACGTTGAAAAAAAAAAAAAATCCCTCTTCTTCCCTCTTCTTTCTGTAACCACTCTCCCATCAAGCAATAATCATCCATAAAAAACAAAATTATCTTGGTTGAGAGGTTTCTGGAAAACAAGACTATCGTACTGAGAAGTTAAAGAGTGCCTTGAGAAGGGAAATCGGAAGGCAAAGCTGGAGTTCAAGTTCTGCATGGCTTCTGAAGGACTCCCAAGCCAACGACCGTGTGACTGCTCAAAAGGAACCCATCCTGTCTGAAGGCCCTCGGACGCCTCTGCAGGTAACACGGCGACACAATGCTCCGCAGACAAACGTGCACACATGAAGCACCACGTCCATAGGAGTTTCAGGGGACATGCGCATTATGATGAGGTACTGAGATGCTGTCACAGAGATCTGGGAGACCAACAGGAATTTGCAGAATGGTTAAGCCAAAAAGGGCCTCAAACAGAGAGACTGCTTGAGGACACCAGGCCAGTGATGGAGCTGGAAAGTGCCAAGTCCACCCATTCGGTGCCCTGCTGGCCTTACAAAGTCTGCTGGTGGTGGGCCTGAGGGCCCTCACTCGCGGTGACCAGAGGCATGCACGGTCTGGAGCTCCCACACTTGAGGAACTGCCTGGATATGACAGAAGCTGGTCCAAGGGACACTGTGACGCCTTGGTGGCCCAGGGGCCTCTTTGCTTTGCCCCCATAACTGCTTCAAAAACTGTGAGTGTCCACACCTGGGTTGCCAGTCACCTGTTCTGGACAAGCAGCAGAGAAGACAGGAGAATGCTGTGCAGACCACGTGGCTTTTGTGGAGAATGAGTGGGGGGCCCCATCCAGCCACCTGAGCATTGGGGTCTGCCTCTGGCTTCTGGTCTCTACAGGCAGTGGGAGAATGGGGCCACCGCTAGACACAAGACTGGGCAGCCACCAGGTTGTCACTGCTTTTACTTCCCTGTGGCACAGCTGTCCTAGGACCAGAGGACTGAGGGAGCCAAGGCAGGCTCATTTGTAAAACAGGTTGAATTTGTTCACTCAACAATACAGCCAGCGCTTCCATTCCATCCTTTCAATGCGATCAGAAGCCCTCGGATGTGGACCCGAGACCCCAGATGCCTGCCCTGCCTCAGGACAGCAGACTCAACCATCCTCCATGTTCAGATGTTGTTTTAGAAGGGGGCTTGGGGAGAGGGGCAGGATTGGGAGGGGGAATGAATGTGGAGCCAGGAGCAAAGGGAAAGGAAAGGGGCCATGGCGCCTTCCTGAGTTCTCAAGTGACATTTACCTACCACTTACATCACTGGGGGACTCACCTGCTTTGGAAGGACGGATCAAGGGAGGACAGATGCCTGTTCAAGGCAAAACCTTGTCTTCCCTGGCTCACTGAGTCTCCTCGGATCAACTACCCCTCTCCCAGGATGAGCTCACCATCCCTCAACTTCCCATCTCTGTAAAGAGCATCCTTAAAACCCACCCTCCTCACCTCCAGACTTCCCGTCCTCTGGCCAGAACTTGCCAATAATGCTCTTCTATTTCACTCAGTCTTCTGTGACCATAGGTCTCAGTTAGTGGTCCCTTCCATACTGAAAACTCTTCATACATTTCTTTTAAAACCTTTTATTCAATAATATATACTTTTAAAATTATAATATGTAACTGCCCATCATGCCATATATGCCCCGTTCCCCCTGGGAAGTCTGTGGTCTGCTGGGAAACAGGTGGCCACAGGACGCATCAAGGGAACAGGGGAGCAACAGTAACCAACAACCATTTTGCATACCCTTCACATTTCCCATGCTTTCTGGGTCAGGAGGAAGTCAACAGGAAGCCAAAGGCGTGTGAACCTTTTACATTCAGAAGTGAGGTTTGATTTACGGTGGTGGGCTGCCCCTCAGTTGGTCTAGTTCGTGCTCGCCAAACCTGCCACCGTTTTGTGTCTGCTCACGGAACGTGATCTCTCTACACACGTTAGGACGTTTGATTTGGTTCTTGTTCTGCTTTATGGAAAAGTGAGAGGAACCGCAACAGACCTGGGGAAAGAGACGGGAGGAGGGGAAAGATGGCATTAATCAACGTGACCGGGAGTGAGGACAGGCCTCCACTTGCGCGTGGCTTCCTTCTCCTGGAGAGGGCTTGGAACACTGTGCAAGCCTGACCTTCCCATGCCACTTGGTGGGACACCTAGTAAGAACCACGATTTGGGGTTTCAAATAGTACCCTTTTCAAACTTCCTCTTCTGATCACCACTAACAAAGGCAGTCTTCGCAGAGCCTTCAGCAAGAGCAAGAGGAAAGTTCTGGACACCACATGGGTGACCAAGTCTCTTCCCCTTCTCTTGGGTCCAGGACACTGACCATTCTGTGCAAACCAAGCTACACGTTCCGCAGGGCACCATCAGACCTGATCCCATTTACCAAAGACAGCTTGGGACTAAGAATTGGATGACTGTCCTGTACACAGGGAAAGGGCCAAGTCCACTGATAAAAAGCAAAATGGGAACTAGCTTATTGACAGGAATGAGCAGGTTTACCGTTGTTCATATGGAAAAAGACATGCAGCTTGATTCTTACAACAGCTTTATTACCTCAAAAGAATGTCACAATGGCAGTGTACTCCCATGTGGAAGCCTACTTTGGCCAACCCCGGTATTCTTAACTCTCCCCTGGAAGCGGCTGCCTGGCATGGCCTGAAAACCACTTCTCTGTCCCAGTCCGGCACAGCGGAGCTGGTCCCGATGCCAAGCAGCATTCCAACAGCAGCGTCTCAGGACATACCACAGCACTGAGGGAAAGGACGGACCATGCGCCCAGAAGGCTGCCACCCAGCAACATCACTCCATGACCCCTTTCTTGGGGTAAAGGAAGGGTTCCTACTGCTTAGCATTCGAGAAAGGCCACGTGGTGCATAAAGTTGAGAAATGCCCGTTTGCCTTTAAGCACTTCAGAAACTGATGTCCAAGCATCCAGCTCCACAGAGAGATGAGTAGGGGAGAAGAATATTAAAGACACCACCATCTGCCAAACAGCATGTACCCACCAGTGCTGCTAGGAGTGGGGTGGGGAAGAGACTCGCATAAATGCAGGACACTGCCACAAACGTCCGAGTCGTGCAGTTACGTAGGTCAGTCCCAAGAAGCAGGTGTCTGAGGGGTGCAATTCAGAAGCAAGAACCAGACGTGCCCATCCCATTTCTCCTACTAAGTCTTCACACCAGGGTGATTAACTACATCCACCAAACACCTTTGCAGTTCAAGATTTATCCCTCCTCTCCCCCAAGAGACAGGAAACACAAGCATAAGGTCCTCATAGCAGTGGTGCATCGCCCTCTTGGGACGGCTGGTGATGATCAACATTTTTATTTATGCAAACAGGATTCAACATGGCATTTTCCTTCCCTCTAAGGGCAGCAGCACAGAAATCACAGATCAGTCATCCAGTGGTACAGAGGCGGCCACTTGTGCCTGCAGTAGTCATTTGTAAAGGATCGCCAACCAGGCAATGTTGCTTTTCTGAAAACAGGAGGAAAGTCGATTCCACGGTTCTTGAAGATTTGGATTTTCGTCCCACCTCTTAGTCACCATTTACAGCAAGAAAAGCCAGCAAGTGAAAAACTGTTAATTTATTCATTCAATGAAAGTGGTTTTTTTGGGGGTTTTTTTTTGTTTTTTTTTTAAAACAATCCTCAATACATGTAGTTCAGGATTAAGTATCACATTTGTAGCACATTGTTGAGTCTCTACACAAAAGTACACCCCACCTGTATAACCCCAGAACATCACTTCCCCAGCCTCTACAATACTTACATGGGGTCATTTTCACCAACACATCCTTGTAGCTCAAAAGCACGTCACCAGTGGTTTTCTTAGCTGTTTCCCACCACCTCCCCTCCCCCGTTCCCATCCTGGGATTAAGTTTTTAAAGGCAGGACATTCAGTCTTAGATTTAAAAGTTCAAGGACAAACTTTGGCTTCCTGTGTGCTCACGAGGACTCTCCTTTTGCTTTAGAAAGGGTTTCTACATTTCAATGACCCTGACTTTGATCAATTATTACCCACTCCAATTCATTTGTAGGCGAGAAGTCTGCTTTTTCCTGTGGGTGTTCATACAGTAACACAGGTTTCTAAACAAATCATTTAATTTGAACCGGTATTTAAGGGAACTACTAGTGGGGCTGTTAGATCTATTTCGAGGCATATATAAAAACTCTTCCAATTGTTGCTTGTGTCCCAAAATAATTTTTCTGCCATCCTCAGCAATGCAGCACCTGGGAGAACCTAAGTCATTTCCCTGAGTAGGCCCAGGCTGAGCCCCAAGGCCACCAGCTCTCTCTGGGACTCAGCGTCTGCCTCGAGAGCACATTTGGGTACTTCTGGAACCAACCCAGGGGGCGATGTCCATCTCGGGGCACACTCCAGAATATGACCTTTGTGCCCCCTAGGTTTCCCCTCCTCAGGAAGTCACATTCCCTCCTCAAGACCTACCTTCGACTACCGTTCTTACCAGTCCCTTTTCCTTTTAAAAGCCCTCTCCCCCGAGGATCACTAGTTCTGACGTAACCTCTAACTAATTGGTCTGAGAGCGCCTTCCCTCTCTGTACGGAAATACACTTGCTTTAAGCCTTGGGAGTACCAATGTGCTATGAAGGCCTATTGGGAGACCCAGCGGAGATGGACGTGTGAGTGCCCCGCGGAACTGGCACCGGCATCAGCACCCCTCTAACTGGTAAAGCCCAGGAATGCTTGGTCTGTGTTCTACATTTGATGGCTTCCCCTACCCAGCCACCCACTACAGGGATGGGACAGGAGCGGGCCAGCTGATACGACCCAGGCGAGAGTAAACTACAAGTAAACCACAGATGAAAATTAACAGCAGCTCTGCTCTCACCACGGCATTTCTCAGCTGAAGCAAATCCCTGCAGTTACGCTCACTGTGGTCAAGACCATGACACACCAGCTGTATCTGGTATAGGAACCCTTCTGTTCTCCCCACACCAGGTCTATGTTCTTAAACATAGGCAGTACCTGAGACGACAGTGTAACACTACCCTGTTCCCCACATTTTTTTGCTTTTCTTTAGGAAATAAGAAGTCCCTATCATAGGCACTTTTAACCTGTTTTAAGGTATAACAAAGCAAACAAAATATCTAATGAAAATTACTGAGATTAATATGCTAACTGAAAAAAAAAACTGGGTGGGTAAATCTGCCATAGCTTAGGTCTAAATATTAGACACACACCCCACACACACACTCATCATCCCTCACTTCTGGAACTCTCCAAGACCATCTCCTAACCCAGGTAAATGCTCGAAAATCTTAAGGGAGCTAGGTCTGCCTGGACATAAAATGGTTCTGGAGGTAGGTGAAAGAGAAAGGGTCTGGACAGAACTCACTTCAACTCGGGGACGAAACATCCTAAAGTCACAGCCAGCCAGCAAGCTGGGTATCAAAACCATACTCAGAAAGAAGTGAGTGTTTTAAACTCAAGTGTTGCTGTATGTCTAAGGCATGAAGGGAGGTGAAAGTACAGGTGGTAGAAAAGTAAACTGTGCAGAAGAGGCGGCATTACTCCCGCGTCACAGCTGCAGTCACGGACCCCAAGGACAGGCAGTGGGCTGTCGACGGCGACTACATCGGACCAAAGGAGAGAGGCCCAGGTACCCCACCCGGCTCTTCTCCAGACGCTTTTATTGCCTCTGGGGACCCAAGGGAAAGGACAGGGTTACTGCTTCACCAAGAGCCTCCTGTGGGGCCTCTGCCTGGACCAGACAGGCAACTTACTGGTGTGGGAGGGCAGGGGGGCCAAGGAGATGGGGGCGGGGGCAGGGAAGACACACGGTGGCCCATTTCCTTGATATTAACCAACAGTTCGGTGTTGCCTCAAAGGGCACGTTAGAAGGCTCCTGAAAATCCAAAACACTGAGTTTTACTGCCTGACGTAGCAATGTAGCTGCAACCAAGAGCTCCGTGTCTTGTCTTTAATTTTCAGGTAGAACAAATGTATACATTAACATACAGAGTGTGCAATGCAGGCAGGCAGTGTTGGTATGAGAACCTTAACTGAATGCATTTCCTGGCTTTGGGATCTTATTTTTACTTTTTAATCTGTAAGTTCAACTCTATAATAAGAGTTTTATTTGTATTTCAAGTTCCCAACCAAATGACAAGAATAGAATCTACATTTACAGATAGGACCTGCTACCAATACCAATATGATTTTATTGGAATATGGAATGTAAACAGATGTTTTCAAATAAACAATCTAATCTTATAAAAACGTATGGCATTATTAAATAGTTAATAAAGAAATCCTAACTGTGATGTGGTGGCAGACACCTCTAGCTCTAGCCTAGGTGTGGAAGTCCCCACAGCTGTGGCGTAGCTCTGCAGCGGGGGTGAGGGGGCTGCTTGCAAACCATGTTGGTGACAAGTCCCCCAAATGACATCAGCCCTGTATTTTACTGTTTAAAACAAAATCCAGCTTCCTCTGCTACCGTGAAGGCTAGCATAATGGATCTCACACTTAAGATACTTGCTCAAGCAGCTCCACTTCCTTCCCCAAACCTATCGCGGGCTGCTCTGCTCAGCTGCCCGGGGCTGTGGGGCGGCCCTGCCCACCCACCACCACCAGTCCCTGCACGCGAGACGGACTTCTTGCCATCACATTCATGTGTTATCCATCAGAGCTTAAAAATGTAGATTACCCTGATTACAGCGGGAAATTATTTCTCATGGGGATAAAAAAAAAAGGGCAAAAAGGGGGTGGAGATGGGGAAGTGTATTTTTTCCAGCCACTAGGTCATTCCTGAATAAATTCTCATGAGACCCTCTTCTCCCTCTCCCTCCCCAACCTGCCTCAAGACTGACCTTCCAGCTTTAGTTATGGATGTGAACAGAAGGTCTTTGTTTCAGAGAGATGCATTAAAATAGATGCACACACAGGGATGTGCTGGGACATGGTAAGGTTTCCTTACATGGCTGCAAAAAAAAAAAAAAAAAAAAGGCTACACAAAAAAATAGCAACAAGATTTTATGGTTAGGCAAAATAACAGAGGTTACGGTGAGCTCCAAGTTATGCACTTAGCATCTAACTTTTGATGAGACAGATGGACGTGTTCATGGCATGAGAAGGTTTCAAGTGATGTCTGCTGACATCAAAGGTGACTCAGGAGACTGACTGCAGTTTGCTTCCAAATGAATACACTTAGAAGGAGACTGCAGGGATGAGGTACATTTCCTAGAGAGCTCATGTCATAAAAAAATACATAAAACATGAATTTGTAGAAGAGTTTAAAAAAAATACTGTCACTGTTTTAATCTCCTTTTCGTAAATGAGGCTGGTGTATCAGTACAGACAGACTGCTGACATGTTGCTAAAACTTGAGCCTGAATCTCACCCAAGGAAACCCAGACCACAGTGGAATAGATAGGAAGTCAGATATTCAGAGCTTGTTGACTGAACAGGTTAATTCAACAGTGGTCTCCTGTTAAATAAAGGTAACTGTACAACAACTCCGAGTCTCTCGTCTCCCATGCATTCCAAAGGGAGAGGTCCCTCAGATCCTGAACTATGTGCATCGTCCTGCTTGCTGCCAGAGTGGCAGTTCCCTGTAGACTATTAGTGGGGAGTTTCTTTTTTGACAGACTTTTAGGCCTTTACTCTTCTTTCCATTTAGAAGGAATGACTAGGATTTCTTTTTCTCACACTGTAGTTTTCCTTCAAGATTTGTGTCTGGTTGGTTGGTTTTATTGGCAAGCATCTATGCCGCATTACCCGTCGCTTTCCAGTCTTCATCGGGCTGCCGTGAGGCCACTGGAAAGTACAGCATTATCCGCACAGGGCTGGGACTGCTCCTTCACCACGGGGTCTGCAAGACAGGGGGACAGAGTCAGCAGAGGCAGGCCGGTCCGCTGGGCGAGGCCGCCACGCCAACGCCAACCTTCCACGGTGAGGCAGAGAGACACACTGCCAGCAAAGCCAGGATCAGGAGGGCGACCGAAATTCCAGACACTGAACCACGGTCACAGACACTGCGCTTACACTTCCTCAGAGGACAAGCTCAACCACTGAGACTCATGGTAAAGAGCGTCACAGAAGACACTTCCTGCCGCTCAAAATTTCTACTGATTTTCTGTGTTATTTTCCTTGAATACTAACATCATACCCAACCCCCACTTTCTTCAAAGCATGTTCAATAATAAGCACTTCAGAGAAAAAGGTGAATAAAAAGAGCCATTAGAAGACACAGCCATTTTAAGCAACTGTAACTAAGAGTTTTCTAAATAGAAGTATGATGTGTATTCAGAAAAACAGACAGATCATGAATTGTATACTGTGAACATCAGTGGTCTTATTTCAATCTAACTCAAAAGGGTGGGGAGAATTTGCTGGGCCAGAAATCGGAAGGAGGACCTACAGGTTGCACTTGTCTGATGTCTGGAATGCTGAAGGGTGGGACCTTTTAAATTTGCTGTCTGCTTCAGGCAAGTTTCATTTAATCTCCAGAGGGGAAAGAAGAGAAGGAAAGAGAGCGTATTGGTCAAGCAACCAACGGGCTGAAAGTTTTCACCTCGATTCAGACAGTGAACTGAAACAGGTCACTTAACCTCACTTATTCTCAGGCTCCCCTGACCGGACAAAATCATCACACTGATTTGACAATAAAAGTGTGAGACACGCTTTGCCAGTGGGGAAAACTACGTGCACTCAAAACAAGCAACCGTGTAAACTGAATTTATACACATCCTCTGAAGCGAGACATTAAGAGGTCAGTAATTCAGAAAGAATTCTGGTGAGGTCTTTCCAGGCCTGCTTTCCTTTCCTCAGTTCCTTCTGTTTATTTAACTTATTTTCTTCCTTAAAGTTATACTCTTGGTTACAGTAACCAATAGTATAAGTTTACTTCCCTCCCTTCTGCAGGGGGCAAGACACTGTTGATTATATTGCTACATAAACGTATATATTTGCAAACAAATTTTAGATACTTGTGACCTATCAACTCGGAGCCACCAGGAACGGTCAAACAGACCAGACTCAAGGGAGCTACAGTGGTGAGAGAGCAAATACGTTTGGGGATCAAGAAACAGATGTGCCAAGTTGTCTCCATAGTCTAGAACTAATGAGGCCAAATTCCAACGGCATTCAGTCCAAATAAATACCTAGAATTCTCCTGACTGGCCTCAAAGATAAAGAAAGGTAAAAGAATTTTCCCTCCAAGATGTGAGGCCCCGGAGACTCACAGAAGTACGGGTGCTCCATGGCCTCTTTGGCGGTCAGTCTCTGTTGATGGTCGTATCGCAGAAGTTTGTCCAGAAGGTCTAGGGCCTCGGGGCTGACGAGGTGTCTATTCTCACTGTGGATAAAATTTTCCCAGCGTTTCCGTGAATGTCTGAGAAGAAAGGGGAAGCATTAGTATTCTGAGATTAAATTAAACAAGAATCCTTTCGTGGCAGGGCTACACCCAACAAAATCTTAGGATACTGCACCGATTACAAGCTCATTAAGTCTCCTCTTACTGCTCCCTGCCCGCCCCCTAGTTATGATCGCAGCGCCCTCCAACCGAACGGCGCTCGGGGACTGACAAGTAGAATTAATTGAAACTTTTACATCTGATGTGGATGTAAACGTTTTAGATGGTCTCTAGTCAATTCTGGGTGAGGCATGGAGGTGACTGAGTACTTGCTATTATTCAGCAGTTATATTTAGAGAGCTGCTGGCCTTAGAAACATGGAGGTTTCATAAAACACTGTAAAACGCTGTTTGAAAATTTTCAGCACATTTACTTCTCTACACTCTATCTGAAAATATGCTTTAAAATTTCCTACCTCATAGAAATTCCCTTACACAGAACAAGAAAAAAATTGCCTTTGATTATTCCAAGAATCACCATTTCCTAAGATTTTCCATTACCAAATATCTCAAAATAAGTTACAAAATATATGTGGGAAAAAGAAAGCTATTTCAACTTTGATACGATTAGAAAGGGGAAAAGCTTTAGGAAGTGATTTTGGCTAACCCTTTCACTTCTGCAACAGAGTCAGTAACACCCTCCCTTTCCTTCTCTTACTTACTGTCCCAGAATATCGTTGAAGTGCGGATCTAGGTCTATGTGATACTTCTTCAGATACCCATACAGCTCATCTGTGCCCAGAACCTTGGCAATGCGAACAAGCTGAAACACAAAATAGACTGACCAAATCACTGAGCACGGAGCTCACCGTAAGCGCCTGCAGACGTGGTGACGAGGACTTAAGAACTTCCACATTACTAAACCTCCGCAGACCAGACACACCAGATCCAAGCCTGGGGCGGACAGGCAGCAGACCCAAGGACATGAAGTTCACATTAACACAGATTTCCAAATAGCCTTTAAAATGGTAATGCAACTTATGACAATCATCATCTAGAAGCTAATGATTATGAGGACATCACAATCTAATGACTAGAATCTAGTTTTATGAGAAAAGGAGGTGCCTGACTCCATAGGCTCACTTTGAAGTTGTGCATAAGACAGCATTATCTATCTCTGGGGACCTGGTAACAGCAGGCAGAGTTTTGTGAAATTCTTCTCCCTGAAGAAAAGCTTACTTATAGACTCTGAATGATACTTAGTGGTTCAAGGTCTGCAACCGTCAAGGAATGAGACTTTCTTGGCATCTGCCCCTAAATGGATATGAGCCAGATGGTTTCTGCTCACCTGGTCGTAGTTGTCCTGTCCGTGGAAGAAGGGTTCCTTTCGAAAGATCATGCTCGCTAACATACAGCCCAAACTCCACATGTCCAAGCTATAATCATACATCTGAGGAAATAAGGACAACTGGTCAGTCAATGGTGTTACATTTTCCTGAGGGGGGGGGGGAAGGTAGCTCAGGAAAACCTGAAATTACAGTCTGAGGTGGAATAAAGACTGAATTTTCAATGTATCCAAACTGACCAAGTAAAAACCAGGAAAAAGGAACACCCAGGAAAGCCCAGGAGAAGCCCCAAGGAAGCATAAAGAGCTCAGAGGCTAACAACTTTACCTGGTAGTCCACAAGGAGCTCTGGTCCCTTGAAGTACCTGGAGGCCACACGGACATTGTACTCCTGAGCAGGATGGTAGAATTCTGCAAGGCCCCAGTCTATCAGTCGCAGCTACAAACACGACAGAAATAAAACATGTGAAAGGAATGTTCCCACACACCTGTGCCTTAGAACAAGGCCACACCACATTAGATGAGTATCAACTGGCCACATAAAAAATGTTAGCAAGTGTACTGCCTAAAAAAGTATACTTTCTGCAACTGTGTAAGAGGTCATTTCTATTGCAGAGCTGAGCACTCAGAATCTTATTTGCTTTTTCCTTTTTAAAATTCAAAGTATCCTGGCTTATTCTCTTGAGATCAGTAGAGCGTATTAAGCTTTTTTCTGGCTCCATACCACTTATATGCATAACACATCCCCCATTATTAACAGCTTCATTATAAGCTGTGGTCCCATCAGAATGGGATGAGGATATATGCCCCACTCCAAGATGGAGCCACTGCTCTAGCTTCTCGTTAATCTGCTACTAGTTGGTTGACTTACTCACCAATCAGGGACAACCAGAATTGGGTATCAAAAATAGGAGGGACCCAATACCTTTAAGGCCAGGCGGACTGGCCTGAAGGGTCATTAAGCAGTAGAAACCATCAGCTGTAGCTTCCTTCATGAGGCCTTCCAGAAAACCATGACCACAATAAACAAGTGACTACAGCCAGGCTCAGCTGCCTCCTTTCCTTGTGTGCTATGCCCACACAAGCTAGAAGCCAACATTGAGACTGGAGAAATGACAGTACAGCCAGTCTGTCAAAGAAAGCAGCACGGATGTGCAGAAACCACGTAGGTCCTGGCTGGCATGCTGGTCTAAGCCTTGCAATGGAAGGCATGTTGTGCTGCCTGGTTGCAATGGTACCTTTTTCTGTTGGTGATCTATCATGACATTGTGAGGTTTCACATCCCTGTGCATGATTCCTTTGCTGTGGCAGTAATCCAGAGCCTATTAGATAAGAAAGCATAGAGAAAAGTAAGCACACCCTCGACCACCCGCCCCCAATGCAATCATATTCTTGTTTGTGACAGCTTCACTTGAACATAGTCCCCCAAGGGGCAGCTTACTGTAACAAAAGAGAAAAAACATGCTGCAGAAGGCACCCCTTGCTTTCTGCACACCACGCTGGCAGCAGGTAGAAGGGGGCTCTGGGGGGGACATGAAAGCTATGGTGGAGGTTTCTTAAAAAGGGGGAAACGATACACTCCCTTGGCACTCCTCTCCTCCTTGCAGCGAGTAGCAATTTGCCAGCCACCCTGATCTAGAAACATTAATCTACTGGTCTAATATGATGTGTTTAAAACCGGATCTGGGAACCTCACTAGAGTCACCTCTCCTGGTGGTACAAATGACACGCAAGGAAGTCCACGTGAACATGAAGAATGACATCCAAATATATCTTTCAATATGGATTTTTTGTTTTTCTTACTTTTGATTTTATTTATTTATGTATTTTTATTGTTCAAATACATTTGTCACCATTTTCCCGCCACCACTTTCTCCTGTCCCCCACCACCCTCAATCCGTCCCCACTTTCACTATGGCTTGTTTTTTAGGTCCATGTGGGTTTTCTAGATTAACACACATTCTAACATTCATATTCTGCTTTAAAACAATCCCTGAGCTGCCCTGGCCTGGCAGCTCAGTTCGTTAGTGTTGTCCTGATACGCCAAGGTTGCTGGCTCGATCCCTGGTCCAGGCACATACAAGAGGCAACCAATGAAGACATAAACGAGTGAAGCAAAAAATCATTGTTTTTCTCTCTCCCTGAAATCAATACACTAAAAAAAATAAAATAAATTAAAAAAAAAAGGTTTTAAACAATCCCTGAGCCAGTGGGTCTTTAGGAATTATGATTATATTATTACTCTAAAGGAGAAAATTGCTTCCTGTAAGATAGTTGATATGCAGGTAAGATTTTTAAGTGTACAAGTCAATGATTTTTTTTTTTTTTTTTAGAATTCTGACTTTGCTTTCCTCAGCTTGCTTTTTAAAGATTTTATTCTTTTTTAGATAGAGGGGAAGGGAGGGAGAAAGAGAGGGAGAGAAACATCAGTGTGTGGTTGCCTCTCACATGTCCCCAACTGGGGACCTGGCATGCAACCCAGGCATGTGCCCTGACTGGGAATCGAACTGGCGACCCTTTGGTTTGCAGAGTGGCGCTCAGTCCACCGAGCCACACCAGCCTGGGCTCAATGATTTTTTTTTTTTTTTAAACTAACTTTATAGATTTATGCAACCATTACCACAATCCAGTTTTCGAACTTTTCCATCATCCCAAGAATTTCCCTTAAGCCTGCCTGCACTCAAGCCCCACACTCATCTGCCCTCCCCACCTCCTCCCCTCCTCTCTCCTCCCAACCACTGATTCGCTGACTGCTGCTATGGATTTGCCTTTTCTGGACATTCGTAAAATGAAATAATACAATATACAGTACTGTATCTTTGTTCACTCAGCATGTTTCTTGAGTGCCATCCACTCTGCTTTTTCCTTGTTGAGTAGTATTCCACTGTATGAATGTGCTGGCTGGTGGACATTTGGGTTGTTTTCACTCTTGGGCTATTATGAATAAGCTGCTTATGTTCATATACAAGTCCTTGAGATGATACATGTTTTCATTTCTCTTCGACAGCTTCCTTAACGTCGAAGTGCTAGATGGTATGTTAAGTTTACAGTAGGCTTTTTAAAAATCTGCCCAATTCTTTCCCAAAATAGCTGCACCATTTTATATTCCCACTGGCAACGTATGAGGGTTCCAGTCTCTCTACATCCCCACCAACAATTTACACTGTTCCCCTTTTTGATTATAGCTGTTCTAGTGGATTTGAAGTGGTATCTCCTTGCAGTTTTGATTTGTATTTCTCTAATGAGTGATCAAGTTGAACATCTTTTCCTGTGCTCATTCGTCACCCTCTGTATCTTCTTTGGACAAATGCTGAGTCAAATCTTTCACCTATTTTTATTTGGGTTGTTTCTGTTTCAAATAATTTTTTAAAAAGTTGGCTCTTAAAACTCCCTTTTCTTATACAATATAACTATTTTCATAAATTTCAATGTTAGGCCCACTGGCTTGTGTCCAAAGGCACTTGAAACCTACGTGAGTTCCATAATGTAATCCTTGGGCAACCATAGCAGCAACCTCCTTATGGTACCTCCTGTGTGCCTGACACTGAGTGCTCTTGGTGCAATTTTCCATGGGACAAGATTAGTCTCTCAACTTTAGTACTACTGACATTTTGGACCAGAAAATTCTTTGTTGTGGGAAGCTGTCCTGCACACTGTAGGTTATTTAGAAGAATCCTTGGCCACTACTTACCAGATTACACTAGTGCCCCTCCAAATGCAACAACTAAAAATAGTTCGAGACTGCCAAATACCCTCTGGGGGACAAAGCTGAACTGATTGAGAACTACTGGACTAGACTAGCAAGGGCACTGCACTAGGCATCTTTATGAAGGAGGGAAGACATAAGCCAGAATTATCCCTAGCGCCAGCCTTCCAGGAATAAGCCCCTTTTGCCTACCCCAGGCACGAAAGACTACACGGTGTCTGATGCTTTTTATATGAAGGTCGAGAACAGACAGCACTGTCCTGGCTGGCGTGGATTGAGGGTCATCTTGCAAACCAGAAAGTTGTCGGGTCAATTCCTGGTCAGGGCACATGCCTGGGTTGTGGGCCAGGTCCTCAGATGGGGGCGTGCAAGAGGCAACCTATTGACGTTCCTCTTGCACAGTGTTTCTCTCCCTCTTTCTTCTCCCTTCCTCTCTCTCTAAATAAAATCTTAAAAAAAAGAAAAAGAAAAAGAGCAGGCAGAACTAAACTACGATGGTAGAAGTGAGAATATAACCTTCAGGGGAGGGGATACTGAACAGAAGGAGCACAAGAGAGCATTCTGGGGTGTTCCTAACATTCTCCACCAACTCTGTCCAACAGGACTTCCTGCAACAACAAAAACATTCTGTATCTGCACTGTCCACATGCCGCATGAGGCCACTGGGTGCTTGAAATGTGAACAGTGTAGCTAAGGAACCGGATTTTTAAGTTTACTACCTGCTACTATACTGACAGCACAGTTCTATTTAGCTTTGGGTGAAGGTTTCACTTCCATAAAACCCAAAAACCTGTACACTTAAGATTTATTCACTTCATTTATGTAGGTTCTACTTCAAATTAAGTTTCTCTGTGTTGTTTTACAACAAAGTTGTGGCAAGACTCCACAGTGGCTTTATGGCAGTGCCTTTTGAAACCAGGGCTCCCGAGGACAGGCCTCCCTGCCTGTGAAGCAGGTCAGGCTCTGCGTGACTCGGAGTCACCGAGCAACCACTCCGCAGCCCTCACCCTCGGTTTCTACATTTTCAACGAAGTGCACTATTTCCTCCTCCCCGTCCCGCCTCTCTCCCTCAGAGACAAAACCCAGCAAGTGTTCATTCTGCTACTGTGCCTCGTCTCTGCCCAGATGCATCAGGGCTGCAATCCCTGGGATGTGGGAAACACCTGATGAAAGCAAAGGCTGAACAAGTTCAGGAAGGGAAGTAGTTCCTTCGCCACGTTTATTGTCAGACTCCCAGTGGAGTTACAGACACACTTTTAAATTCCTTGGGGAGTTCTTTCAGTTTTACAATCTGGTAGTTTCTGACCACTAAGCACAAAAGATGCTTCTCAAGTTCTACCCGGGCCTTCACGCCTCATTACAGCAAGCGTGCCCTTACCACCTGGCTGCTACTTCTAGAAAACAGAGCGGATGCCCCTCAGACCCCGGGTGCCCCCCGAGTGACCAGCATGTGAAGACTACATCACAGGGGTGTCTTCACCTGGTCTAGGAACAACTGTGCTGGATTCAGATCTTACCTTTGGTGTGCTAGCCTGGCCACAAAGTCTTAATAGCTTACTTTAAAAAAATAACCATTTGTGGGATCTGGGCTGCAGCGCTCACGGGGGATGCATGGGTGTCTCTGAAGGTGCCTCCAGGGACTGGGCTGGTGAACAGTTCACGGGACCCCAGCAACTCAAATCTCTCCCCCAAGCCGAGGCCTTCAATTCCGTCCAGAGAGGGCACAACTGGGATAAACCGAGCTCTACCTTCTTCATCTTGCTGATCTTACCAACAAAAGACAAGACCCCTTAGACACAATAGCAAACCCTTAATTCCACCACCTCGGCCTTAATGACAAGTGGTTTGTGCAAGTACTTGCAAGAAACACATTCAACCTCACCAAGCTAGTTCTTCAAAATCCCATTCCCCAAAGCTCAGCCTTAATTTAACTTGGTATTTTGTTCCAGCAACTATTCACAGTCCAATCAAAACTCCAATCTTGGCAATTGTCTTCAATAATGCCAACATCTGAATCACTTCTATGTTCTCTCAGAGGTTCTGAATTTGAGATCCACACCACCCCTAAAACTTCAAGTAATACTGTATACTTACGCATGCATTTTTTGGGGGAAGTCATTGCTTTCATTATACTCTTAGTGATCCATGACACTAACTTTGGAACTACTGGTTTATTACACTTCACAAATCTTTTTAAGATTCTTTACCTAAGTGTTTACCTAGACAAACTAAAAGAGATCATTTCTCCATCAATCAGTAACACTTAAAAATACTAGTGTTGGGGTTAGGAAGTCTCCTAGAAGGTCAACCCATCACCTCTCCTACATGTCAAGGTTAACTAGCCAAGGCTAGAGGTTACATTGTCTCATACAAGAAGGGGAATACAAGAGATGGCAAAAAAAGATGGCCACGAATGCCTGCCATCCCTATACGCATGTCCCTCCACAATGTCACTTCAAGTGCTCAGCCCATCAAGAGACGGTGTCTACTTCTCACCCTTTGAGTCTAGGCTTGGCCATGTGTTTCACTCTAGCCAAAAATTAGCAAACATGACACAGAAGGCACTGGTAAAGCGCTTAGACATCAAGGTCAGCCCTCTCTTGCTGCCAGGAGCCCCGAGACCAGCACAGGAAGTGGCCCAAACCAGCCTCCTGGAGGATGAGGCCTCAGCTGTCCCAGCGGCCATCCCGGGTTTGTGAATGAGGCCATCCCGGACCAGCTTTATCAACTGGGCCCAGTTGTGCTATCCAAGACCAAAAGATTCAGCCAGCTAACCTACAGAATTATGAGAAATAATACATTATTTTTAAGATGTCATTAAGTGTGGGTGATTTATTATGTAGTAAAAACTAGTATTAATTAAGCAGTCAAAGGAAAATGCAATGGGCAACAACAGCGCTGAAGAGGGAAGTTCTAACGTCCGGTACAATGTCTCTGGAAGCCCTGCACTTGAGCCTTCTCAAGGCCGCTAGTCAGCTTCTCTGTGAAGATCCCACAGTGGAGGTCTCAAGGGAAAAAGCTCAAAAAACAAACAAACAAACAAAAAATGCAACAAAACAAAACAAAGAACAAAACCTCACTAAATACCCTCGGTATCAAGAAATATGCTGCACGAGTTCTTTGTTCTCTCAAAAACTTCTCCTTTAATGAATAAGCCTGAAAAAAATTCACTGTTTATGAATGCCACTTACTTTAAGTAGTTCATACATATAAAACCGGATATCAAAGTCTGTCAGGATCTGGTAAAGTTGCTGAAACAGATTTCAGAAAACAGAAATTTAATTTAGTGTCATTGCATCTTGTCATCCTAAATGTTGGTCATTATTCTCTGTAAACTTAGTGCTTGAGTCACTACAGAATCCCAGAACTTTTTACTACCTGACCTGCAACAAATGAGGACAAAGACTAAAACAAGGGTCTAATACTTCAATCTTTAAAAGAAAAAAAAAAAAGGAATTCCAGGGAAGAAAAACATTTATTCCAACCAGGATCCTTTAAAAGCTTAATGTGCCCTGATTTCAACAGCTACAATTGCACTATAATGGAGATGAAGCCCCAGTTGCCCAACTGCACTTCAAAAAAACTCGCTGCACTGTGGCACCACAGTGCACTTTAGAGAACAGAGAGCCCGAAAAACTTCATTGGCCCCTGTTATAAACCAGTGGCAGGACCGCCAATCTGTTTGTGAAAGGAACACGAGGAAAATGAATTGCTATAGCATTCAGAAAAGGCGAAAGACAAAAACGTCTATACCCTCCACTCCCCCAAAACCCAACTCCAGACTGGAAAAAAGAACACTTCACAGGCACTATAGATGAGAACAAATAAGCCAAATGTTTTAGGGAGAAGAAAAACATAGTGGTGGAGTGAAATGTTAAAAAACTGACACGCAAATGAAAGTTTTCATTACTGATAATCCAAAGACCCACACACTGGGAGATATTTTTTTTAATTTTTTTATTTTAGGGGGGAGATTTTTTTTTTTATTTCAATTTCTAAGAGGTAGAGTAGCATTTATGAACCCAAGTTCATTAAAATCACAAACTCCTGTCAGAAACTGTATTATTACTTTTGATAATCAATTCCAAGTAAATCTCTTTCCCCATCAGTCCAAACAGTACTTTCTATAAAATTAAACAGCATACCTTTGTGAAATACATTTTGTTTCTCTCTTTATCGGAAGACTCAAGCAGCACAGAGAAAATCTCCAAGAAGCAGAGAGCAGTGTGTGCAGAAGAGGGGCGGGGGGGGGGGGGCGGGTGGAGGGCAGGGGAATGAAGGAGACCTTCACTGCGCACCATTTCATATTTTAGATCCGTGTATTACCTGTTCAAAAAATGTTTCCTTAATCTGCTAAAAATCAAACCTAACATTTTCTAAGAACACCAGAACTCCTTTCTTCCAAATGGCCCCTTTTAAATTAGAGCGGGTCTTCCTCCAGCTTGACAAGGACACCTGGCTTCCCCGAGCTCGGCGGCGGCTGGCTCAGGGCCCGCACGGAGCTAACGCACACCGCTGCGGGGGCCTGGGGCCGCTCCCCAGCCGGAGCTGACCCGGGGCGGGGCTGAGGTGCCCGCGGGCACGGTGGCACAAACACGCCGCCACCTCAGCTCAGGAGATTCAAATGCTACCAGCCCAACCCCCAAGTATTCTGTTCTCCCCCAGCACAACCCCAACCTGTATGCACAGAATTGAGCTGAAGATACCATCTCTTTGCGCCTCGACTCAGCTCCTCCTCTGAGAGTTAAGGAGATCACTCCCAGGGACTATGCCAAGCTGAACCTCAAGTCAATAAATAGGCTATGGAAGTGAAAACAGCACAGCTCTCACCCTCAGAGGGCTGGGGTATTTGACATCCAGAAAACGATCATGGGCTATTTATCTACCTGGACTTTTGTCTGTGGAAGGCTTTCTTCTCACACCCTGTGGTATCTGTACCAAGCACCTGTGTAAATGGTCTACCAGGGGTGTCCAACCTGCGGCCTGCGGGCTGCATGCGGCCCAGGGTGACTGTGAATGCGGCCCAATGCAAAACTGTGAATTTACTTAAAACATTATGATTTTTTTTTTTGTAATTACACGTTGCGATATATTTAATGTGTGGCCCGAGACAACTTTTCTTCTTCCAGTGTGGCACAGAGAGACCAAAAAGTTGTATACCCCTGGCTAAGGCATAAAAATAAATGTCCTTGGACTGCCAACATAGGATTTCTAGCTATCCCAATCAATATCAATTTTACGTAGTACAAAAAACACTAGCTGGATATAGGAGTCAGGTCTAGTATGTTCCAAAGTCCTGAATGACAGGCTGACATTGCCTATTATTTCTCAGGAGCGCTGGGCAGGAGGAAGCCAAACTGCACCTGTAACATTTTACCACCTCAGCTAAAATTCCGGACACACCAGGGTCCCCAGTTTGGCTTCCTCCAACATTTGGAGCTGCCTCCACTGCAGACCCCAGAGGGCCCCCCACTGTGCTCAAACAAGCCGAGATTTGCCACCTCCACTATTCCCTCTTCAGTGTCCCCGTCCCCCATCCAGAATGCCAGGCCCCTTCCTCTAGCCCATGAGGCCCAGCCCACCCCCATCCAGACAGCCCCGTGCTGAGCCTCCACGCTGTGGCTCGTCCTCGGCAGTGTTCAGAGAACCCTGACCGCCGCAGGGTCCCCTGGAGGGAGCATTCCTCACTCACACTGGCAGGCGCCCCAAGTTCTCGAGGTAATTTCACACGCTGACGTGAACAAGACGCTGCTCTCATCCCAGGAGCCCCACGCTAGTGTGCCTGCGCACCGTGGCACACACACACAGTGGTCACCAAGCCGGGGTTCAGACTGCCGAGCTTTCCCTCCCCCAACACACAGCGGGGTCCAGATTCTACGTCCTCACAGCAGAACACCACGTGCTTCACACACCTGTACATTCCACACCGAGGGTGGCGGCCCTCTCCCTGCACACAGAAGGCAGCTGAAAACTACTCATCTTTGATGATGTTCGAGTCAATACAACAAAATAAAAACTGTCTTCCAAAAAACGGAGGTACTAAGAGTCCCTGACAAATGAGAAAGGGAAGCTCCACAAGAGCCCAACCTTTTTTCCACTACCCTTAGCCAGCTACGTGGAGAACATCATCAACCAATTGCAAAATGCTGGCAGGAAATGAGCTCTTCTTACATTTTCATACAGTAATTGTCTTATCAAAAACAAAACAAGCCTATGCTTCCCAGCAGCTTACAAAGGTGCTATGGAAGAAACTATTCACCAATCCTGGGCTGGCTCCAAAGCCACAAGCACACTGGCATCTCCCTAGAAATGAGACCTACTTCAGGACTACTCAAGTGGCCCAAGGCGGAAGCTTCCTGGGACATTTAACTAATCTCAGGAAGTCTGAGGAGAATAGGAAAAATGCCATTTGATCAACAGATTCAGAACCTCCTTAGTCTAAAACCAACACCTAGGAAGGAATGACCACAGCGGGCCTTGCCCCGGCTGTCCCACACAGACAGGTCCTCAGCCTCCAGGCCCGGTTCAGCTGCACCATGATCAGCTGCAGATTCCAAAGCCCCTACGCCCAGCAGTTGTCATTCAGGAGGACCTCACACGGTCGCAAGGTCCCCTGCCAGATGTGGGCACCACCAACACAGCGCCCTCTCACCCCGGACACAGGGCCTGCCCACCTCCGACACACACAGCTCAGTCCCTGTGCAGGAATTCCAGGGCCCCCCAGGGGCAAGAAACAGCGGGGGCAGCGGGAAAGTCAGAGTGCAAGATGTTCAATGCAGTAGCCTCCGGTTTTGGCCCTGTTAACCCCTAAGCCCAATGTCCAGAATAAAACCAAGGCCAGTATTTTTAGAAATTAAGAAAGCAGAACAAATCATTGGTTGGGGCCCACCTCTATGTGAGCGATTTAGAAATTCTCCACAGACTAATACCATCTTCTCAAGATGGAGCCCATTTGGAATGTCTTCAAAGTGTCCAAATGACCTAGATTTAAAGTGTACATTCATTTGTATTTATACTCTTCCAAGGCATAGAAAACTGAGAAGCATGTCTCAACAGAAATTACAATGTCTCTACTTCAAAAAGGCGCCTTGCCTTCTCTGAGACAATTTGGAGCCTGGGAGTTTTCTGTAACTATTCACTTCAGCTTTTAGAGAGTGGCTTTTCCTATTGATTTGTTCTGAAGTTTTGTCTTTTGTTCTAAGTATTACCGTGTATCTTTTATTATCACTTTGACATATATGAAGTATTATAATTGATGATTTCAAGGAGAAATTGACCAAAATAGTACCTCTACCATAAAATGAAATACTAAGGGAAAAAAATGAGTAAGGCCATAAAAGATATGAACTAAATTAACAAGCTTGATATAAAAACTGACCATGTACTAAACTCCAAATAATCAATATTATATTGATCATGTTCTCTGAACACAGTGCAATCAAATTAAGAATCAATAATAAAAGAATTTTTAAAAACTCAACATCCTATGGATCCTGGATCCTATATTCACAGCCATAAAGGACACTCCAGGACTATAGTTACTGACAAACTTTTAATATAGACTATTAGATGGCATGACTGTATAAATATTAAAATTCTTAAGTGTACTAATAGTATTGTGGTTATATAAGAAAACGTCCTACCTAGTTCCAAGGCTAGCACATTTAGGAGTGAAGTATCGTGATGGCTGCAACTTTAAGATGACTTCAGCAAAAAGATAGCTGGAGGTAAAAAGGGGAGTGTGCGGGGGCGGGGGGGAATGGGAGAAGTAACTGCAAACATGGCAAAATGTTAACAGATAGATCTAAGTGAGTAACATTAGAGTACTGACTGCGCTGCTCTCCGATTTCCAGGAGGTCTAAAAATTTTCAAAGGGAAATATTTGGGGAGAAAACCCCAAATCCACAAGTTCGGAATTTCTATTCTGAATGCAGAAGTGAGTTCCGTAACCATGCAAGGCAGCTTAAATGGCACCTGAGGTTTACAGACTTACTGCCTGCCAACACAGGTGGGGACAAACAAGGGGGCGTCACCTCAAGAAGTCGGGGCGGGGGAAACAGTGAAAACATGAGAAAGAAAAGAAGAAATAAAAAATTAATAAAAGATAGGAGAAAGAAAATGAAATAGAAAACAAACAAAAACAAATCTGTGCCCTGACCCATGTGGCGAGCGCAACTGGCTGGGTGTCCTCCCCCAAAGGGACCTGTCGCAGGTTCAATTCCCGGTGAGGGCACATGCCTGGGCTGCTGATTCGGCTGTGCATATGGGAGGCAAAATCAATGTCTCTCACATGGATGTTTCTCTCCCTCTCTTCCTCCTCTCTAAATAAATAAAATCAATCTCTCTCTCTCTCTCTCTCTCTCTCTCTCTCTCTCACACACACACACACACACACACACACACACACACACACACACTAGGGAGCAGGAGAAAGCCTGCGCCCCACTCCCCACAGCTCTCCGCGGCGTGTGGCTACTCAGACGCCCACAGCCAGGCTCGCGTCCCAAGCCAGGAGCTGACAGTCAGTCATCGGTAACTTCATTGCTCTAAAATATGAGCAGACACTCAAAAACCCTAACATTTCAGACAAATGCAACAGAGAACAAAACTAAACACTCCAAAAAAGGAATTTGGAATAAAAACAAGAGAAAAGCCATGAAGAAGAACACATAATGGGAAAGAAAAAAAAAACATTCTCAGTGAGAAAATAGAAGATATTACATAAAACGTAAAAGAACAAGTTACCGTTTCAAAGGGTACAGAGGTCTCAGATAGGAAGTCTGACATCCAAATGAGTTCAAGAAAGTGAGAACAAAGACAAAAGGGAAGAGAATCAAAGAACATTAAAAATGTTTTTCCAAAACAGAAGGACACGAGTTTCTAGATTGAAAAGCCCAGGAAGTATCCAGAACGAAAGATGAATGCACCCCCCACGAAAGCTCGCCACTGGGAAACTTCCTCAGAGACCGAGGATGAAGAGAGGTCCTACAAGCTTTCAGAAGAAAGAACAAAAGACCAATCACGTCAGATGAAACCAGAATGGCTTTGGTGGCAAGAGAACAACCTCTTCCAAGTTCTGAGGAAATTATTAGTTACGACCTAGAATTCTATACTACAGCAAATATGTAATTGGGAGGCTAGAATAAAGATGTTTTTAGATAATGCAAGCCTCTAAAATCATTAAATCCCCATGATCCTTTTAAAGAAAGCTCCTGGAGAACATAGGCCATCAAAACATCCCCTTTATAGGAAGTCAGAGTTCCCTAGGGAATTAAAAACTGCTCTGCATGTTGTTAAATCAACCCATCAATTTAACACACAATATGCTGAAGTGAAATTTTAATGTATGGCTGGACAGTTGGTAAAAATTCATTAGGAAACAGAGGCATTTAAAACTGAGGGATTTCCCTATGACGTCCCATGAAGATTGCCTTTGAAGTTTTTGTATTAGAAAAATGTTTGGTTTCATTAAAGCCTGTTTTCTTAAGAAAAACACACACACACAACCCCCCACCCCTTGACAAAAACTGGGTCATTCGTAGCAAAACTGAGGTCAGCGCACGTAACAGCCCTCATTTTACCGGTGAGGTGCTACTACGCTAGTTAATGAAATAATCTATACCCCACTTTTTAGAGTTCTCTGTTGGGTTAACAAGGAAATCTGTTACATATGGGCAATGCTATTCTGTACATAAAATTTGCATATTGTTTTACATAATACCCCCTTTAGCTTATTTTTCACTAATTAACCTTACAGATGTTTTAGAGTGATCACCTAAGAAACAGTAAATGTGACAACGAGGTTCTTTTTCACCCCGAAGCATCACCCCAATGCCAGCACATTCCGGCTGCTGACGTGGGGGTGTCGCTTCCACTGCAACCCAATCACAGGCTCGAGTGGTCATCACCTAAAGGTTCTCTCAGTGTCCCCACTATCAATACCGCTTTGGACTTTTAAAACATTTTTTCTCTTACAGTGGTTTTCATATTATGCTCTGCTATGTCTAGTATGCCTAGCCCCCAAACCTTAACACAAGTTAAGGTTGTGAAGCGAATCCATGGAAAACCAGGTTCAAATAGTGCCGTTTAGAAGAATGTTTCAAAGTCTAAATTAATATGCACTATAAATATAAGAAATGTAAATAACCCAGAGTAGGGCTTCTCTGTGTCATTCGCTTAGCATACAGCATGCCTGAACACACACACTCTGAGAGTTTGAATCCAAAGTGCGGCCTCTTTTCACATGAGCCCTATATCTGTTCATCACTTCCTATCGGCAATGTAAGATTCCTGAGACAACCAAGTTTAACATCTACCAGATCCGCTGTCTGAAAGAGGAATGTTACCGATGAGGCATTTAGGTTAGACCCAGCCTAGCAGCTATTCCCAGAGTAAGCAAGGCAAAGGGTGATGAGTAATTACGCCAAACGGCAAGAACCCTAACCACTTTCTGCAACCTGTACTCATGCTAGGACTGCAGTTTGCTATTTCCTACTCTCACCAGTGACCGCTCTGCCCGCCTTGCGTTCCAGGGTATCAACAGCACGTACTGCCACCTCCCCACCCCGCCACGAACCACCATACCAGAAAGAGGAATATACGCACCTTAAAATCTGTATTATTGATATATTCGAATACCAAAGCTGGTGTCTTTGACTGCAAGAGAGAAAATGAATGCTGATTAAATATTCAAACAATAACCATAATCTGCTTCTGCCACACGGGCCCATCCTCAAATCCCACCTCGATGAAAAAGATTCATCGGCCAAGGTGAGGCGAGTAAGAAAGTATCCTCTTGAAATTTGATGTCTGGAATTTGCTTCAAAATAACGGGACGGAGGACGATGATGGCGGCGGGGCAGAGGGCGGGGTACCAACCAACGCAGGTGGCCGCGAGCTGACTGACTGCTAACGCCGAGGGCTGCGTGCGGGCAGGTTCACTGCATTATGCACTGCTGTACAGGGTTAACATTTTTAATGAAGGGGCGTTTTTGGTTTATTTTTTGAAGAGATGTACTCTCTGACCAACATGTCCAGCGGGCCCAGCACATTATGTGAGGATTTATACTCTGGGGGGCTCCAGTTTGCCAACCACGACACAGGTCTTTTCAAGATCCAGAAGGAAAATAGCTATGATTATCAGTCAGCCATAATGTGAAATCACTTCCTTGGCTAGAGACAATCAGAGATGTGCTCCCCCAAAATCATATATAATCAAGTATTTTTAAAGCAATACAATCTTTAATGCAATGAGCAAAATAGTCAATATTTCCTTGTTGCAAAATACAGATTTTCAAATGACAAGTTTACTTAAGTGAGGTAAAAAAAAAAAGAAAAGCTAATTGGCAGTAATAAGTTGTCAAAAGTGAGAGACAGGCAGAGGCTTAAAAACATTAGAGAAAGAAAAAAAATCACCCTGGAAATCTTTATGGCTGGGAAGTTTGCTGAAGGAAGCAGATGAAAGTTACCCGGGGCCGAAGGCCACGCATCTGCACACGGGCCTTTGCCGGACGAGCAGCAGCCCTGGCCCAGGGGCCCCTCACCAGCCTGAGCCTGAAAGGGTCGCATCGGGGCCACCACCTCCACCGGTCGGGGGGTGAGCGCTCCCTGTTGGCTTCATCCACTTCAGTTTGTTGCACACCGTGGAAAACACACACACGCCTTAGTAAGTTACAAAAACAGTAAGACAGCTATGACGAAGTCCTGTGTCACTGTAAAATCAATCTGAGCTGATCAGACTGGGATATATCTTTAATGCCAATTAGATGGAATCTAGAATATAACCACCCTTCTCAGTCTTTTAAGGGACCAAATTTAAAAACTTTTCCTTATTCTTCAGTTCAAACACCTGCGTAATCTTGGGCAAGTTAGTTAACCTCTGCAGACTTTGGCTTTCTTCTCTGTGCAATGTGGGAATACAGACCATAACAGGACCTACCCCACTGGACTGCTGTGAGGATTAAACGACACGATGCAGCTAAACACTCAGGACAAGTGCCTGGCACACAGTAAGTGCCCAGTGCACATTAGCTACATCATCGTGAGGATCTCTTTAGCGGATAGAAACAAAGACCTACTTCTTAAATAAACAAAAGCTATCATGGGAGAACGGAAATATTTAAGGTACGGCAAGCAAAGAACAGGAATGGGATAGCAAGTGGTATAAAAGTGGTATAAAAAAAGCCTTAGTTAATCATAAACACAAGTTACTCCTGGGAAGAGAAAAAAAAATTAAACAGCACCACTAAGACAGCTAAAAATTAAGCATTTTGACAAAAAATATTTCAGACGTTCCTGCCTCTACAACGTGAACCCTAATGGCGGATGCTGAATTGAACGCCCGTGGGAGAGCAGCGAGCTGGCTTCCTGAAAGGCCTGTGACCCGCTCGGCCCCCCTGCAGGTGTCCCCATGGAGATGTCCGGCACTCCCCCGGCAAACCCAGGTTTCTGGTGTGTGGTAAAGCAATGCTAACTGGCAGTAATAAGCTTACAGCCCAGGAGAAAAACAGGGACTTAAAGGAGCCAGGCAGCAAACATCTGTGAGCGGAATCCGAATGAGGAGGTAATAAACCTAATAAATCTGGGACAGGGGTTTGTCTACATGACAGACATTTTTAGGTTCTACAGGAGTGGTGGTGGCTATTTTCTCACCACGATTTTTCCTGGTTTTCAAAGTCATTCAGTGGTGAATACAAACACAATCATCCTCCCTATACAGTCCCTCTCATTATATTAGGTTGTGTGTGTCTCTCACACACATTCACACTCTCTCTCTCTCTCTCTCTCTCTCTCTCTCTCGCTCACTCCACGCCCCCCAACCATCAGGCACCTACCACAGGGTCCTTCACAGTGTCAATCAGCTTAATGATATTTGTTCCACCACGAAGGTTCTCCAGAATCTTAACCTCTCGTTTTATCTTCTTTTTCTTCACTGGCTTAAATACACAAGAGTAATCAAAGTAAGACTCTCTTTGAAATTAATAAATACAACTTTAAAATGATATTAGCTAATCAAATGGATATTGCACTATTTTGTACACTGTGTTATCTTAAAGAACATGTCTAAATTAGAAGAGGAAAAAAATCAAGATAAAATGGGCCTGTCCACAAGAACTTGTAAGATTAAATTAAATAATTTACAGACTTATAGCTCATGTGTCAGATCTTTAAGTAGGGCACTTAAAAAAATTTTGAACACCCATGTCATACTTTAAAAATAAAATGCTTATTGGGTAACTGCCAAGTGGAAAATGTTATAGCTCTGAACAGCTGTATATCGTGCACCGCAAATGGAAAAACTGCCACAAAATGGTGAGACACCTGCTCTTCCCATGAGTTACATGTAATTTTGTCTTTCAGGAGTGAAGACCAGTTCACTGACATCAAGTTACAAACTTGTTTCCCAGCTGCTGGCTCCCATTTCCTGTCGCCACTCCCATTTCCTTAATATCTAGAATGAATCTGAAGTCAGCACAGAGCCAGTAAAACTGCCCAACGGATCCCATTCCCAAAGAGAGATAATGGATCGGTGAAGGAGAAAGCAGATCTCTCAGCAGCAGTGACTGAAAACCTCAGCTCCCGCTAATCTTTCAAACTGCTCAACAGAAAGGGTAAAGACCTTAATCAGAAATACTAGTATTACATGTGTTATTTCTTAAATGAGCTACCGAGTTTGAAGTACACAGATCGCAATCGACAGTGTTTTATAAAGCACCAAGCACAGTAGTGGCACATAGTAAGCACTCTATACATGTTAAATTTATTATTTTCAAATTTGTAGTTAGTAATAAGTCTTACTTCATCCTCACGAAATCCCTGTGTAACAGATTCAGCCAAGCTGAGCTATTTGCCCAAAGGTCTCCCAGCTAAGAGTAAAGAGTGGGGGGCACGGATCGAGTCCAGCCAGTCTGACTGCAGGTCCCCCTGGCAGCCATTGTGCTTTCCTTTCCCAAGTGTGGCCCTGTAACTAACGTAACTAAGGAAAAGGAATATTCCATCACTGAGACACCATTTTAATAAAATAGCACCAGCAGAAGAGGCCAGTGGATTTGCTATGAAGCAAGGCTTAAAAAGCCTGTGTGTGTGTGCGCACGCGCACATGCGTGTGCGCGCTGTCGGGGGAAGTAACTCATATGCATGCCAGAGAAACCTTCATCTGCTCTTGGTCACTAAGCTACAGCCTTGAACACACAACAAAACAGAGAGGGAGAAGATTAATGAGAAACAGAGCTTCTGCATCACCTATAAACGGGGTGCTCAACTGAGAGGCTGGGATCCAGCCGCGTTCTTCCATGCCAGCTGCCAGCGACCCTGTCCACTCCATTTTGTCAGGGTTCCAGCAGAGGAAGTCTGGCTACTGTGTCCCCTCCCCATCTCCACTCGGCAATCTTACTCCTTATATTCTTTTTCTTAATTAGGGAGGCTCAATACTTTGGGAAAGCGCAGTACTCAAATGTGAAGCCAGAGAGGGACACACTACAAAATAGGTAGCCCGTAAGCTTCAAAAATGTTGATGTCACGAAACACAGACTGAATAACCGTTCTGTTTCAGACTTAAAAGATAAGACAATTTAATGTGACACATGATCTGGGATTTTCTTTTATATAAAGAACATTATAAGGACAACTAGCAAATGCGAATAGGGACTACAGATTAGCTAATAGCGTCATATTGAATGCTCATTTCTGATTTTTTGATACTGGTACTGTGGGTTATGTAAGAAATTATCCTTGTTTTTAGGAAATACACACTGAAGTAGGGATGACTGCAAATTCGCTCAGGCACTTCAAAAAAATAAGTAAACTAAGTATAAACATATAGGTATGTGTATACACATGAAAGAAAACAAGAGAGGATAAAGCAAACATTAACATTTGAGAGATGTGGGTGAAAGATATATGGGAATTCCTGCAACTCTTCTGTAAGTCTGAAATTATGTCAAAAAGTTCAAAGAAAAATAAAAGCTGACTATCATATCTACAAATTCAGCCAATGCTGCATGCTGCGGGTATATTCAATGTAAGAAAATTCCAGACTTGTCATCCACTATGGGAAAGCAATTACAGAGAAAAAAAGATAAACAAAGGAAAAAACCACCGCGGCCAGATGGCTCTGTTCACCAAATGCCCTCCTCTCTCCGTGTTAGGACAGGTAGCCCACTGTGTCGCTTTTTAATGCCGCCATATGTAAAGCTCTGCTTTGCTACCCTGCTGTTCAGCAACAGGTCAGACAGGCACACTGTTTCCAGACAATCCAGTTAAGATTAAGATATCTTTCATTATGTCTAAAGGTAACTTATAGAGCGAGTGAACATATTTTGCTGCTCAAATGTCACCTGTTCAACAACTTCCCAAACAAGACTGGGGACGGCAGGGCACATAAGTGGCACAATGGAGTCAGGCAGCAGCTGGAGTCCTACCATAGCGACAAAAGACCAAGAGATTGTAAAAAAGGGAAGTGACAAAGAGCCCAGGACATGCCCCTCCAAAGCACGGGCACTTGCCCTCCATAGGAACCAGTCTGCAGGAACTCCCTACAGCCTCAGCTTAGCCGCCTGAACCTGGGGGTGCTTCAGAAGCTACAAAACCAATGAGCTCCCAGGGAGTGATAGCGATTCATTTTACAAACAGAACTGGAAAGAAGTCAGGACGCGTAAGGGAAGACCCCTGCCTCCTAAGGAAGACAGATAATGAATTGTACAGAAACAAGGATGATCTGACTCTCCAGACTAGAGTTTGCACTCGTTCCCCTCCAGTAACAGAAAGTGGAGAATATACATACATTTTCATAACAATCTCATAATTTCATTTCACATGCTTCTAGTCTCTCCCAATTAAGGTTCATTTATTACAATTCACAGATTACCTGTTTAAAAGATTCTAACTGAATCAGCTTAGCTATATTCCAAAACAAAAATGGAATTTTTTTTTTTTTTTTTTTTTTACTCAAAGTCTAGTAGAGAAAATGGCAAATAGCTTTAAGATTTTATTTATTTTTAAAGAGATGGAAAGGGAGGGAGAAAGAGGGGAGAGAAACATCAATTGGTTGCCTCCCATATGCACCCGACCAGGGACCAAACCAGCAACCTGGGCATGGACCTTGACTGGGAATCAAACTGGTGACCTTTCATTTTGAGCAATGACACTCAACTAACTGAGCCACACCAGTCAGGGCAATGGCATAAAACTTTAAAAAAGAAATCAAGTATTAAACCAACTATCAAAATGAATGAATTTTGGCACACACCTGAGAGAGAACATTTAAAGGAGAAAACTCATTTAAAATGTCCTGTGCATAAGCTCTGAAAAGGAATGGAGGGAGGGCCTTTTCAGAAGGTTTCTGCTCATGTGGTAAAGAGTCCCAACTAATTAGGAAAACCTTGTTCAATGTAATCCAAGACTAAGGTTCTTTTTCTCTTTCCCTATTTACAAACCTTTCCAAGTTTTAAAACAAAAGACAACTGTAGTTACAGGATGCTTGGAAATACAAAGGTTGATAAAGTCAATAATCTGTCCTATTTATTTATTCAAGAGTTGTGTTTTAAAAAGCCAGATCTGAAAAATCATTTCAACTACTAGTATTTAATTATGATTGAATATGTAAACTAACATCTACCGAATGCATAAAAATCAATCCCAGCAAATATTAGCAGGCAAAGTCCCATTTAAATTTCTTTGCATTTCAAATGGATACATTCAAGACAGACAGGACTATAGTTCAGGACTTTCAAATCTGGATTCATTTTTATTCCAGTACCAAAGTAGTGACTGCCCCACAAAGATATAAATTTCATCATCTGCAATAAATAATTACCACGACTGGCTGCCAGGAATGCAGGATAAGTGAGGAAGAGTGTTCAGCCTGGATGGCAGCATTTACGTTGTCGTGGTAGCATATCTAACATCTACTGGAACTGGCCTCGACGTCAACATCATCTGGGCGGTGCTATGTCTTCACAGCAACTTCTCCCCTAACCCTTCACGTCTCATCTTTCCACCAATTACATTACCACCATTTTAAGAGTAACTGTTTATTCAGGATTTAATTTTTTTAACTTAAGAAGTTGAGGCATACAGCAGGCCTTTTGATTCTCATTGAGAGAATGGCAGTCTTTCCTACTATTGGTTCTGACCCCTAAAACCATTCACTTGGCCCAACTAACATACTGTTACTATACTTATTGCTTTATACGAGCCAGAAACTGTTTTAAGCACATTTTAATCAGCACTTAATAGTACTCTGAGGTATTTTTAACGGTCTCACGGGACACCGAGGCACAGAGTTTAAACATTTATTTTTTAATTTTTTTAATGATTTTTAAAATTTATTTTTAGAGAAGGGACGGGAGAAACATCAATGTGTGCCTGCATCTTGCGCGCCCCCTGCTGGGGACCTGGTGGGCAACCCAGGCCTGTACCCTGTACCGGGAATTGAACCAGCAACTCATTGGTTCACAGGCCAGCGCTCAGTCCACTGAATCACACCGGGCGGGGCTGAGTCAGAGTTTAAATAACTGCTCAGGATCATAGAGCTTCTAGGTTTTGGAATTGACATCTGAATCCAGGCAGTTTACTTCCCAGGCCTCACTCTCTCAGGAAAGAAAACTACTTCACAGACTACTAAAACACCCTCACCTACCTACCTACCTACCTACCTACCTGTTTATCTACATCTATATCTCATTTGATTCTCCCCAAAACCTTAGGAGTTAAACAAGAAAGACATACCCATTTTACAGATGAGAAGAGAGCTTAGTGGGCATAAGCTAAGCTGCTTCTAGAACCCTAGTCTTCTGCCCTCCATGTGTAGCACCTCTCCCGCTACACCACCCTGACTTCGAGGCATCAGATCCTAAGATTAGGCTCTAGAAACTATCTGGAGCCATGCTCCACACATAAATTTGGGAACTTTGTAGCAAGATATTCTTTTTACACATGGTTCACTCTCCAAAAAACTCTAACATACGAATTAAAGGGATAAAACTGTTAACCAAAGAATCTGGCAAGTGACCATGTTGAGACTTGGAGGCACTGCATGAGTTCAAAAAAAAAAAATGAAAAACACTGGTTCCCAAGGCCTTAGACTGAAAAAATAAAGTAGCCATTTCACTTACACATGAAGCATGCTGCTGTGGAGACCCCGGAACCCCCGTCTGCACCCACACAGCTCTCTGGGCGCCCATCTCTTCCATACCTCGACCAGCAGCCCACCGAAGGCAAGTATTCCCTTTCAGAAGAGTAACTTAAAGTCACCAGCTACAAATAAATGTGACTACTAGTGAGTATCAGTGAGTGTCTGTCAATCCTTCCAGTACATCAATAAGTAAAATATACAGCAAATATCCTAACTGTGCTCCTCACATCTCCCACAAGAGAAATGGAGTCCCAAATCTGCTACTTCCACCCACTGACCGTGTGGCTTTGGGCAAATCGCATGCTCTCTCTGGGTCTTGCTTTTTATTCTTTTAGCCTCACCAGAGGACATTTTTTCATTGCTTTTAGAGAGAGAAACTGGATGCGAGAGAACACCATCGATCAGCTGCCTCCTGTACATGCCTAGACGGGGGATTGAACCTGTAATCTAGGCATGTGCCCCGACTGGGAATCAAACCTGCAACCTTTTGGTCACAGGACAACATTCCAACCAACTGAGCCACACTGGTCAGAGCTGGGTGTTGCTTTTTAAAGTATAGTATTGCTCTTAACTGCCACTCAGGAAATAGTTTAATTTAAAGGATCCCAAGAATAAGTGCTAAAATGCACACATGAGCTGCTCACAAAATGCTAAAAGTTGTCCAAAATGGCCAAATGCTTTTATCTTTGTGTCTGCCTTTCTAAGAGGTACTATATAGGAACTGAAAAATTGATTTTTCAGGATGAAAAGGTGAAACTTTAGGCACTAAAATGGCACCCTACCCCGCTATATCAACCCTTACTATCCGCCTCGCCTATTTTTCTTTTTTTCATTAAAAAAAAATAAATAACTGTCCCATTGACTGGAAAGTTTTAAGATTTCAGCCTCAGAATTTCAGTTCAGGATAGACAGTAAAATTGTGCTCACCAATTTCTAAATTTCTAAAGCCTCTTAATAACCAATGTGTTTTGATCAATACTTAGAAATCTACTACTGACGTAAATTAAATGATATAAAATTCCTCTGTGGTCATCCATCACCCAACCATTCTCATACTGGAAGGCACTGACTGAGAATGTTACCGACTGAAAAGGAAGACACACCTAGTCCTCAAGGAATGTACCTTTATCTCGATCCCTGTGTGCACATTAATACATAAATTCCTTCCTTTAACTGAAATACAGTAGGCCTACACAAAGAGGAAGCTTTTTTTACATTCCTCCCAATTATGATCAGCTAGTACTGGTAAGGACCTAATTCCCCAGGACCAAGCAGCCACGACAGCAGTTATTAGTCATAATTTCAACTTCCCTGAATAGAGGAGCACAACTTTGGACAGACATTATTCTTTAAAAAAATAAAAGTAAAAAATTCCTAAATTCTACTTTAATCTAGCCTATCAGAACAAAGAGAAAACCACAATAATACCATTAGTAGTTTCTTACCCAATCCTTCAGATAGAACAAAATCTGGACAGAAATGTCACAGGGCTTTGAAAAACATAAAGAAGTAAACCGTAGTTTTCACCAGTGGAAGAAAGGTGGTTCAGGCCACACCCTGAAAAGAGCTTGCATGGAAAAGAAACAAAACAACGCTTCATTAACTAGAGTATCAAAGGGACCTCACAAGTCTTATTCCAGAACACTGCAACTTATTCTGCACACAACATTATGATGCTAAAATGAGCAGTAAAAGGAAGAAATAGGAAACAGGAATTCTAGCTGAGGGTCATTTCAACATAGTGATGTTAGATGAGGTTTTGTATGTGTGTGTGAGCGTGCGTCTGGTTTCTTGCCTGTAAAAATAGCCTTCAGCTTCCAAATTGCATTCCCTAAACAACATATACTGCAAATCTTTACAATGGGGAAAACTATCCTGCAAGTGACGCCATCAAGTTCTCTACGATGACTACAGAGCAGTGGGATTCTTTCCTATGTGAACGGACTGTTACTTATGCGTACACCTGAATGCTGCTCCTTTCAAAAAAGACACCACAGGAAGTTACACTTATTTGAAAAATGATGCCATTACGCAAAAGTTTAATGTTTTTTCTGGATTTGCTTTAGAGTAAGCAGATCATTCTTCTGAATGCACAGCAGCAGAATATGGATATTCCTAATTTCAATGTATGCCTTATTGCTTACTTTCTAGAAATATTTTAAGCAGCTTATATCAAAAACATTTATGCTCGTGTATACAGGAGAAAATTGTATGGCTTCCAGTAAACTTCTCTGTGACCTCTTTGAAAGGAACCTCTGAAAGGCATCTCTATGTTTCGTAGGTGTTCATTCCTCTTTAGGGAAGGGGAGACTCAAACTCCACATCTTTATCACCAAGTCCCGCTCCCACCCCGTGAGTCTCTGACAGCACAAACAACTGCTCTACCAGCATTTCTGCTGCTTCATCACTAGGCTAAGATGGTGCTGAGTAACAACTGATCACTTTTCTGAAGGGTGACTTTCAGTGTAAGCCTGACCCCTCATAGTAAACAAGGACACAGGTGCCCTCATTCTGTCCTTCAGACACAAAAATAGTTTTTTAACCCCACACTGGAAGAATGTACACACTGGAAATCTTACGTTTGTAAAAGTGCTTACTCTTTGATCTTCTCAGTTTTTCACTAAATTACATGCACACACATTAAATGATCTGGCAACAATGAGGATCCTCCACAGATTCTAAGAATTATTTTTTTAGTATTCTACAAAACATAGTTTAAAGCAATCCAACCAGTTACGTAAAGGAGAACTTGGCCAACTCTTCATGCTCATGAAGATTACGTCTTCATGCAAGAGATGACAAAAGGTCAACCGTAGGTTGCTAAACCAAACACTGAGACTCTTTTGTTCCAATCATTACTTTGGCGATTAGGAGTGTACATGTCCATTGCTCCCAATTTCACTTTACTGGATGATAAGCAACAATGAAACTTTGGGCATGCCTTGCTCGCTTCATCTACCCCACCTGAAACTTTGATCACCAAAGGAGAAGAAACAAGTGATCGTCCACTGATTGTTTCCCTCCATTTAGGCTGCAAACTCATCCTTGAAGCTGCTTCCCGTTTTTCCAACTTTCTTTCTGGAATTACTTAAAGCACCAAGAGAAACAAACTCAAGGAGCCCTTGGAAGGATGAGATCTTCATGAACAGGCTCTTCTTTCTTCTGAATACCTATTTATTTTGTAACAAATGGAGCCCCCTGGGAATTTGCACTTTAGGAGTCCATCATTACATTTCAAAACAAGGATGTTCCTGAACTAGCACGCTTAGATTTGAAACAGGTCTGCATTATTTTCTTACGAGTTCACAGGAAAATGGTATGGGAGAAGGAGTGGGGGGGGCCATCAGTCAGAAGTGATGTACAATGAGAGCTTGGGCTGCTCATTCTAGAATGTAGCTGCGGTGGTTGTATCCTTCTGACCTGTGGGGGGGGGGGGGGGCGGGGACGTCATGCCACTGGTAAGACACTCACCTTGAGAATTTTTACAACCACTCTCTCATTGTTGGTGATGTTAATGGCCTCAAATACTTCGCTATACTTTCCCCGACCAAGTTTTCGAACCAGTTGGTAATCATCTTGATTACTGTGAAAGGCAAGAGGGAAACATAAATGCCAGGACTTGGCACTGAACAAGCCTGGGCCCACTGGACCCCCCCCCCAACCCCCGCCACTTCCAGCATTCAAGCACTTGAAGTGTCTATCCATCAGGCCACAGCTCATTCTCTAAATGAAGGCCACAACACAAACTTGGCTCCCTTCACTCTGCACAGAGCTCCTAACCTAATTGGTCCCTCCTAACTTGGGGCGAGGAGGCAGGCAGGCACCGCTCGGGGCTCCTCTAGATGGGTGAGCGCAGCGCCCATCCGGAGGCTCTGCCCAGGGCGCCACAGCACCTGCCCTCAAGCACACCGCGCTTGCTTTGAGAATCTCACCGTCTTTTTAAAATTTCCTCCCACCCAGCCTCCTTTCAAAAAAACTAAAAAGGCACCGAATTTTAATAGCTCCAGCTGTTGACTTCCCACCCCAACAGAAACCCGAAAGTGTGAGCAGAACGGGCTGCCCCCTCCCTTCCTCCAGGCCCTGGTCCCTGGACCCCGACTCTTCTCCCCAGACAGAAAGCATTTCTCGGGGTTCGGGAGGCAGGGAGGAGCACGGCGGGAAGAAAGGGACGGGAAAGGGGCGAGGGAGACCGGGCCAAGGCTCTTCCCCCCACCGCAGACCCAGGACACGCGGGCCCACAGAGGGCCGGGCGGGGTGGGGGGGGGTGATGAGGGCCGGGCGGGGGGCGGCGGTGGCTTTACCCCCAGCTCGGGACGTGAGCCTCATAGTCCCAGTACTCGCGACTCCTCAGGCTGTTCACCTCGGCGTAGACCCGGGCCCTGCTGCCCGCGGCCGGGCCGGGCATGGCGGGCGGGACCGGGGGGCGCCGCGGGGCGCCGAGGGCGGCGGCGCGGCGAGGGGCGCCGGGCGCCGGGCGGAGGAGGCGGCGGGCCGCGGGGCGCCGGAGGAGGAGGAGGAAGAGCGAGGCGGCGGGCGGCCACGCCAGGCCGGGCCCGCGGGGGCGGGCGGGCTGGGGGGGCGCGGGGGGCGCCGGCCGCGCCGGCCGGGCCCGGGAGCGGCCGGCGGAGCAGCGGGACGGGCGGCGCTCGCGCTCCGCTGCGACCTCTGCTCGGCTCGCGGCCCCGAGGGGGCGGCGGCGGCGGCAGCGGAGGCAGCGGCGACGGAGGCGGCACCGGCAGCGGCGGCCGCCGGCCGGGAAAGGGACAGCGGCGGCGGCGGCGAAGAAGGAGAAGGAGGAGGAGGAGGAAACCCGGAAAAAGGGCCGCTCTCTCTAGGAGCGGCCGCCTCCCGGCCGGGACCGCCCAGGCTCACAGCGCCCCCTGCCGCGCGGGGGGACCCGCCGGGCGGCGCCGGCCCCGCCCCCGGCTCCTGGAGCCTAGACCCCCACTTCGAAACTCCCGTCCTCCGTCTGACCAGACACGCTCACGGGGCCTCCCCCACCCACAGACTAATTCTTAGAGACTTACACTCGTGTACCCTTTAGGGACTGTCCTACCCCAAGCCGTCCACCCTCTATTCATCCAGAGTTTACCCATTCCGACCTCCTGTGAGGACCCTGTTCTGACTGTTCCCATCAAGTCTCTCTCCAGTGACTCCTCCTCAACCCCAAGATTTCTCCATCCTTCCTAGAGACATCCCCTGCTCCCCGACGAGCCCTTCCCTGTCACCTGTAGACTATCTCAAGCCTCCCCCCTCCCCCCGCACCGTCTCCCTTTTTCCAGAGCCTGCCTCTTAGGACCCTTGTCTTATGCTTCTCCAAAAACTTCCTTCTGAGACTTGGCCTAAGAGCCCTCCGAATGTTCACTTCCATTACTTGATTAAGCTGGCATCGGCCAGGTGGCTCACTGTGAAGTTCTTACTTCTCCCCTTTGTAATTGAAAATCAATTTGTGGGAGACTAGATAAATACCCCGGTTTTGTTTGGGAGGGTAAAGAGCTGGAGAACTGTGAGAGTCCTGCCTGAAGGGACTGGCTAGGGGCTGGGCATGGACTGAGGGTCATGTAGCCAACCAAACCTTGGCCTGTATTAATAATATGTTGTCTCCTAGCCCTTCACTCTCTTCTCCCCTTGATCTTCTGGGCCTTTCTTTTGTCTCATGTTCCTATCCTACATCCTTTATCAAGAGAACGTCCTCGCTCAGCCCAGGTTGCTCCGATGCCAATCCTTTTTCACCTTCTGTTTGCTAGATGAAACCCTGCTTTCTCTTTCTTGATATAGTAGTGAAGAGGACAGACAGTGGAGTCAGATCCATCCAGTTCTGAATCCCAGCTCTACTACTTACATGCTGTGTGACCTTGGGCCTGTAACTTAACCTCTCTGTGCTGCAGATTTTACAGCATAAAAATAGTAGTGGCACACAGGTCCATGGGGAGAGAGACCTGGTAAACCCTGCAAAACACTTAGAACACTGTCTAGCAGATAGTAAGTGCTCAATACTATTATCACCAGACCCAGGGCATTTCTCCTGTCACTTTTCCCTCCCTGAGACCACCGCATGCTCTTTGGGTTCCTGGCATCCTGCCAGCTCGGCCACCTCTACCGTCTCCACCTCCACCTTCCCATTCCTGACTCCTTATTCCTCCTCAAGTCTCACCTTTAAGTTCACTTTCAATGTTAGAGTTCATACTTCTGTAGCCAGCCCCCTATCTGCATCCTCCAGAAAACGGCATAATTTGTCATTATTTCTTTGTCTCCTCCATTGTGAAAACAGCAGGAGAGCAAGGACTGAGTCTGCATGCTCACCCCTGACCCACCAGCATTTGCCACAGCTGGAGGCTTTCAGTGAACACAGGGTGACCCACAGTTCACTTATTAATTCCACAGGGGAACCGGGAGGTCATCACTTTAACCACGAATCAAACTTACCTTCAATAAGGGACCAACGGGCCCTCTGACAGGACGCACCAGGAAGGGACACAATACCTGCCAAAAATGCTTAACTGGAGTCTAATCACAATGACACAATCAGAAAAATCCAATCTGGGGGACATGCTGCAAAACAGGGAGCCTGAACTCCTCAAAAATGTTAATGTCACCAGAGAAGACAAAGCTCCGCAGTAGCATGCTTGATTAAAGGAGCCTGAGAGATACAACTAAATGAAGTCTGTAATTCTAGATGTGATCCTGGATGACAAAGGCAGGAAGGAAAGGTAGGAGGGAGGAAGGAAGGGAAGGAGAAAAAAAATATGGCTAAAAGAACACAGTGCTATTGGGACTACTAGGGAAATTTGAATAGGGAATATACATGTACATTACATAATACTATTGTTCAATGTTGTGAGTGTGAGGATTATACTGTGGCTACGCAGGAGGATCTCTTGATCCTAGGAGTTACGTGCCAAATGTTTTGGGAAGAAGTATCAGTCTCTACAGCTTAGTCTCCTGTGGTTCTCCAGAAGAACGTGGATTGCCCTGAGCACAAGCATCCATAAGGAGAGGGGAGCAACTAGGAGAAATGTTGACAGTTGGAGAATGCGGCTGAACTACGTGAGCTTGCAACATTTTGGCAGGTATGAATAACATTTCTGAAATATTTTATTTATTTTTAGGAAGGGAGGAAGAAAGGGAAGGAGAGAAGCATCAATGTGAGAGAGAAGCATTCATCAGTTGCCTCTTGTATGTGACCCAGCTGGGGACCGAACCCACAACCCAGGCATGTACCCTGACCTTTTGCTTTGCTGGACAGCGCTCAACCAACTGAGCCACATTGATCAAGGCAGGTTTGAAAATTTTCCAAATAAAAACTGGAATAAAATAAAACATTTGGGAAATAAGGGGACTTTGGAATTTAATTCCCAAACCTGCAAACTTCCATAAATCTCCGCCACACAGGGAGACAAAAACATTCTCAATTTCTTAATGTAGCCTTAGAAGTTCTCCCTGACAAGGAAGCTAGTCAAGCCCAGAGGTTCTCAATCCTGAACCCTTGTGTGAACTCTCTGGGTTCCAGGGACCCCCGATACCATGTGCAAAGTTTGTGGGTCAGTGTGTGTGCGTTCCTTCCACAAAATTCTCAAAGGAGGCCATGACCCAAAAATGGTTCCAAACCACTGGTCCAACCCCAGCTGGGGCCCCATTCCTCGCCTCCACCCTCGCCCACCTCTGACTCCATCTACCCTCCCTGCACCTTCCTCTCATCCTCACCACCTAACCCACACCCATCTCACGCAACCCGCTCCCACACCTGCAGGGATGCCTAAGGAGTCACCCACACACCGCTCTGGTGCAACACGCTCCCGGATTTGGCTGCTGCTTCGCTAACTCAGCCCTGAAACCTGCAGTCGGTCCTCCCACAGCCAAAGGGAGTATGTTTTCATAGTTTGTTGGTCGGTAGGTCGGGCACCCCATGGAATTGGCGGAGGCCCACCACCTCTCCTTCCTGCCAGCTCACCATCGGTGTATGTGGTGTGAATTAAAACGGGCGGTTAGAGATGGTATCCATGCATCCCTCACTGAAGGCGTCAGTCTCAGGGTGGCTCTGTCGGGGCAAGGGTGTATGTGTGTTTGTGTGTGTCTGATGAGACAGACAGAGAAAGAGAGAGAGACACACACACACAGAGACAGGGCAGGGTGGTTCAGTGAACCAGAATCAACTTCCCCTAATTATTCTGTGTGTGTGGGTTTGGGGATGAGTGTAATTCAGGGTTACATGGAAGAGAGTGAAATAAGGCATCATGAGTCAAATAGCCCAACAATTTTATACCAACTCCTCCTATGACTCCAAATTCTATGCAGACACCCCTCCCAAAACAAAACAAAACAAAACAAAACAAAAATGTTAAATCCTCAGAACACCTCCTATCTTCACAAAGCCTGTTTCTAAAACATTTAAGAGGTTTATAAGCTTTTGCCCTGTATTGCTGGTTTTAAGAGCATCGCCTAAGGAAATAAAGTAAATTATGGTCAAAGAATTATTAGGAGTGGTGACAGTTTGTGCGTTTGATATCATTGAATCCTGCAAAAATCCTGAGGCTAGAAACCATTGCATTTACACTTTAAATGGGTGAACTGTATGGTATGTGAATGGTATCTCAAGAAAATTGTTTAAAAATTCTATGAGACTAGGTTTGTTGTAAGGATTCTCTTTCTGCAGTCTGGGAAACTAAGGCCCTAAAGCTAGGGATCACTGGGGGGAGCCAGGATTTGATCTCAGGTCTTTCTGACCACCCAGTCCCCTCATTCCCTTAACTCTTTTATGATTCAATATACACCCCCCCCAAAAAAAAGACCCAAAGACATTCATCATAAAAAATCATCATCTTTAAATTATGAAAGTGTAAAACAACTTAAATATCCCAAATTGGGGGATCACTTAAATAAATTGTGGCATGTCCTTACAGTGAAGCATTAGGGATCACTAAAAATTATGACTATCACGAGTTTTTAGTGATAAGAACATTTTTAGTATATAAGATTTTTTAATAAATGTTTATGTTACACAAGTAATTGTGCTAAACAAAGCAATGCCACCGGCTCCATCTTCTCTATGCAATGAAAGCGTATAATACCACCTATGTTATGTTCCTTTGTCTTGCTCTGCTTTATTTCAAAGCGGGAAACTGAAGTGCCTGTGTAAGTGCTCTATTAGTAGGTAAGTTCTGAGGCCTACAACAAATGCATGGGGGAAGAACTGGAAGGGAACGGATTAATTGCCTTTGGGTCTCAGAATCATTTGGTTTACTTTTACAGTCCGAAAAAAATAGCCACTGTTTACAGGCTGTGGACTATCCTACCTTCCCCCAAGGACAGGTTGGGGAGGAGGGTCTTAAGTCTCTTAGTAATCCCAGGAGCCCACTGGGAGTGATGGACTCAGTCTGGGTGTCCGAGGACCCAAACAATTCCCTAAAGTGTGTCCCTTAGGGCCCCACAGGCTGCACTGCACCTGGGGGCATTTGCGCACACCTTCTTTAGGGATGTCGCTTACTGATTTTTCTCCCTGATCATCCCTACAGTGTGACCCTCTCT